GAGAGAGAGAGAGAGAGAGAGAGAGAGAGAGAGAGAGAGAGAGAGAGAGAGAGAGAGAGAAGAGAGAGGAAGAAAGTGAGGGCCGGGGTACAGCACTTTTTAAAGGGAGGATAGGGGACGGGGCTTAGGGCACTCAGCACACGCTGATTGGTGGTTTCATGTAAGGCCTATGATTAGGGACCTAAGGACTTAGGAATGGGGGCTTAGGGTATTTGGCAGGTGCTGATTGGTGGTTCAGTGCTCAGGAATGTCCGGCTGCAGGTAGAGTTTACGTCTGTCCATCAGTTGGAGGAAGGGAGGATCTATCGGTAACAAAACCAGGACCCTATACCTTTCTAAACACTAGTCTTGGAGCAGGACTGTTTTTTCATAAAAGATTGTGAAAAGAGGTTTGTACCCACTCCTTGCTGCGCTATCCTTCTGCCTCGTGATGTCCCAGGCAGGGCTATGGACTGGCTCCAACATCGCAGTACATTTATTCATGACATCTCTCAGTGTATGATGAGACTCACGAAAACATATCCAAAAACACTTCCCCAACCTTCTCCATCTCTTTCATTGGTGGCACATGAATATGCAATGTTGTACATTTTAAACATTTTTCTAATAACACAAAAGAAAAAAACGACATTGCCATGCTAAAATAACTACTGCTGTCATGTGAACAGTGCCATTCCTTCTAGAACTTAATTTGCTCCTGTATGCATTTTTCTTTCTTTTTAAAAAAAATGTTATTGATTTTACACAGGAATTGAGAGGGACAGAGAGTCAGAAACGTCGATGAGAGAGAAACATCGACCAGCTGCCTCTTGCACACACCCCACTGGGGATGTGCCCGCAACCAAGGTACATGCCCTTGACCGGAATCGAACCCGGGACCCTTCAGTCCACAGGCCAACGCTCTATCCACTGAGCCAAACCGGTCCTGGCTGCATTTTTCTTTTAAAATGGTATAATACTGTATGTATTATTTCATAGGAGGTGTTTTCATGTAGCACTTTTTAAGACAAAATTTGCATAACCTAAATGCAATTACTCACACTGGCTTCATGCCAGGATGCTGAGGTTGGAAACCTTGGGAAAGACACTTACTCCTTGGACCTTGGTGACCTTGTCTAAAAAGGGAAGCATTTCTTGCTATTCTCCTGAAAATACAATTTTTGAGTAAAATCTTGTCACCATGTTGCATCCTAAGGACTCTGTGTAATAGCTCTGAGTTCTGCATAACCTTCCAGATTTTTGTGTTAATATATATTTTCCAACTGCCCTGTGTGCAAATCACTTTATTTTTGCTAGCAATTCCTGTGATTCAGCTGACTAGTCTTTAAAAATAAGGAAGAACAAGAAAGCATTTCAAATTCCTGTGACTTCCTATTTTCCTGGTTTTCTCCAGGCTACTCCACTAAATCTTCCTTTCCCATTTCTTTACCCAAAAAAGGACAAAAGAGAAGTTAAAAATCATCCATGGTTGGGCTTTACTCTTAGTATTCAAATACATAAGTGTGTAACAGTATAGCATAGAAATCACTATATTTCCACTCAAATCACTATGATTTTGTAGGAAGAAAAAATAACAAATGTGGGGAACAAAAACAAAGCAACATCAATACAAGAAATAAGTCAGAAGGATGGAACAGGATTTGGAAACTCTAAGGAAATCAAACAACTAGAAAGGACATCACTTTGTCTAAGGAAGGGAAGCTAGAAGCGGCTTTAATTCTTTTTAGTTATAGAAAACACCTAGCCAGAGGTGGGCCACAATAGCAGCCTGTCTGTGCCTGGCGCCTGGCATGACGGGAAGGAGCCCCGGGAGTTCGCTGGGTGCTGCTGATCCGGGTTCCCCCCAGTGGGGCTGTGAACCTAAAACTGCTCTACAGAGTCAAGTCTGCATGGTAAAAGATTAAGGCAAGCACTTAGCTTTTGGGCAAGGCACTGATGTAATCAATAACTAGAATTCTCATATAAATCCTTACAAGTACGACAAGCTTCATAAATCAACAAATACTTCTAGTGAATGTAGAGTCTATCAGATAATATGTCTTCAACTTCCACCTGCTGTTTCTGAACTCAAAATTGGAAGGATCCTATGCAAACAGAAGGCCCTAAAGCTCATGGTAGATCCATCTCCACACCTGTTGTTGTTCTGTCTGCAAAAGATACAAAGCATCTGGAGGAGTTTGCATTGTCCTTTAGGAGAGAAAGCTCGCTTCATGAAGAAACGAGCTTTATGGCGTGTGAATCTTGAAGCGGGACCTGGAGGAAGATTTGTAAAGGAGGAAAGTCATTTCCGATGGACGCTTCAGCACAGAGAGGTAGGGGCGAATCTGCTAAGGAGACATTCCCCACCTCCTGCCTTCCCTCCTTCCCGCTGAAGTAGCAGGTTTGTTCCCTTAAGAAGAAACAGAATGCCTACTGCTCCTGGGGTGATGGTGCTTGGGACTGGGAGCCACTAGAAGGCAGGAACTATACACCTGCAGCCAACACTGAGTGTGGCAGAAAATAGGCATCAGACATGTGTAACAAATGAACACGTAGGGGAGGAATGGAGAACAGAGGACATGGGAGAGATGTCAGAGGGATTTGAATTTGATGTAGCTGGCAAGGCAAAATCACCATCGGTTCCAGAGATGGAAAATGACACTGTGGACCCTTCTAACGGACACGGTGCTGAACTCGGTAGCATTTGTCACGGCTGCCAACTCATTCTACAAGCACTTCATTTCAGGTTTACGGGACTCCATACTAAGCTGTTTTTCTCCACTAAATACTCCTTTCAATCTCTTTGAGATCTTGTCCTCCTTTTCCCAATTTCTGAATGTCAACATCCCTCGAATGCAAAACACACACACACACACACACACACACACACAACAACAACAACTCTTAAATATATCTGTACAGAGATTTTTTCTCTCCAACCTCCAGTTTTGTAAATTCAACTGCCTCCTTGACATTTTCATTTGGATGTCTCCTACCATATCAGACTTACTATCTGCAAAATGAAATCCTTAATTCTCTACTAGAAAAACTCCTCCCCACTTGCATACCTCAGTAAATGAGATGAACATCCACCCACTTACTAAAGCCAAAAACCTGGGAATCATCCCTATCCCCTTCCATTCCCTCCCCCACCCCATCTAACTCATCGGCAAATTCAGTTACTTCTGGGCCCAAAACCTTTCAAACCTATTTCTCCACGACCAACACCCCAGTCCTGCAAAAACATCCTAGCAGATCTCACCTCCACTCCTACCCGCTTCATTCATTCTCCACTTAAAAGCCAGGAAATCTTTTATATATTTTTTTTATTGATTTTTTTTTAACAGAAAGGAAGATAGAGGGATAGAGAGTTAGAAACATCAATGAGAATCATTGATCAGCGCCTCTTGCACCCCCACCCCCCACTGGGGATGTGCCTGCAACAAAGGTACACGCCCTTGACAGGAATCGAACCCGGGACCTTTCAGTGCACAGACCAACGGTCTATCCACTGAGCCAAACCGCTTTCAGCAACAGCTAGGAAATCTTTAAATGTAATTCAGATCCATATCACTCTTTGGATATGGATCTAAATATCTAAATAAAGCTAAAACTTCTCTATGACTTTATATGGGGCTTTAGATGAAATCTAAACTTTTCAACACTCAGCCTCTTTGTATCCGCTAGGCATTTCACTCATGGCCCACTGCCCAGGGGCTGAGGTCCTGTCAAGGGTGTATAACAAATATTTGAGACAGGAAGGGGGAAGGGGGAATGGACTCCAAAAAACTACAAAATCAAAATTAATGTCACTACATAATATAACAATGTTAACTAATCCTAAATTTCAAATCAACCTTTCTGTAGTTATTTGCATATTTTAACAAGGGATGTGGGCACATGGTATTTTGTTGAATATAATGTGGAGTAGGTTCTCCCAAGCAGGACTACAGAAGGCCTCCGGGGGTTCTAAAATGGCCCTTTAGGCCTTTAAGGGCCTGCATGTCCCCATCTGTGCCTGCGTCTCCATGATCTCCATGATGCCACTCTCCCACTTGCTCACTCAACTCAGCCAGCCAGCCTTGCAAATTCCTAAACTGCTCCAAAACCTTTCCCCACGTTCCCTCCTCCTGTGCCCCAACGCTCATCCTGACTGGCTCCTTCCCATCTATTCGTTTTTTAAATTAGTAACTCCTCAGGGGGACCCCCCTGACCTATCCATCTAAAGAGGGCACAGGTGACCCCTCCCCCACCACCTTATTTTCTGTTGCCTTCTTTCCTCCATAACATTGCTCTCCGTCTGTAGTTTATTTTGCCCGTTTATTCTATCTTCCCATGACACTAAAAAGCTCCACGGAGGCAAGAAACTTTGCCTTGTTCTCTGTTGAGTCCTACTGTAGTGACTGGCTTCGATAAAGAGCCACTGAACTTGTGAATACACGAATGCGAACTTCATCTTCGAGGGAGGAGGGCCAAGCCTGAAAGATGTGCCGTGGACTCCACCTTGAGAGGCTGGAGGCACTCATCTTCCTCCGATGCTAGGCCCCCAGGTGGGTTTCAAAAAGGAACGTTTGGAGGTTTTCCCCCGCAGAAATTCTGGTGACAGCTCCTACAACTTACCCTATTGGGGCGGGGCGGGGAAAATTTAAAAAAAAAAAAAAAAGGACTCAAAACTAGTTTGAAAGGGAAGGAAGTGGTGGAGGGCAGGTGGACGGCTCACCAAGTTGGGGCACTTCCTTCGTCCCAGCCCCGTCCCGGATTCTAACGGCTCCGTCCCTTCCGGTCTTCCGCTGGGAGCAGAGGACGGCTGGGGCCCCGGGTTCCGGATTCCGGGTTCCGGGTTCCGGCTCCAGGGCCCTCTCACCCTCGTTAATTATTCAAGACATAGGAGGACACTATGGGAGGCGCGCTCATTAATATTCATGAGGGGCGGGGCCTCCCTCCCGCTGGGGCTCCTGGGAGGATTCTAAAGTCCCCTCGAGGCCACCGGGGCTCCTGGGAGGAGGCGGCAGCGCAGCGCGCCGGCCGGAAAGTCTTGAGATTTTTTTTTTCTTAAAAAACTCTAAGTTGAGGAGGGTGGGGCAAAACGACTAAATCCCATCCTCCTGTGATTCTTTAGGCGGAAAACTGTCCAAATCTGTGGTAAAAAGAGATTTGTTTGCCCCGTATTTTCTTGAGGTGGTTTTCCTCGTGGATGGAGCGAAGGGGGGGACCCGCTGGAGGTGTGGGGCGAGTCCCCGGGGAGAGAGGGTGGGTCTCCTCGGAAGGTTTTCCGGGGTTCGAACGGAATGGACACCCCGGCGAATGGCTGAGGGCGACGTCCCGGGAAAGGAGGCCGGGCTCCTCCCAGAGGGCGCTCGCCGCCTTCCTCTCGCGGCGGAGCCGGCGGCGGGGCTGCGGGGGGCGGCCGGGGCGGCTCCTCTTTGGGGCTGTGGCTCCCGGGCCCCAGAGGGGCGGCGGGAAACCAGCCATACTTGGGGAGGACACCTCGTCAATTTTTCCAGAAAAGCCTGAGAGGAAAATAAATTGTAAAAAAAAAAAAAAAGAGGCTTTCGTTTTAAAAGCATCTGGGCGTCGTGCGTTGACCCCGCGGGGACACGGGGGCTGTAGGCACATAAATATGTCGTTGGTGGCCACACATCCCTGCGTCGCGGCCTCAGAAGCGCCCACCCCAGGCCCTCTGACCGGTTCCTCAGGATTTGTATGGAGAATAGGGGTTCCTGCTTTAAAATGCCCACCGTGAGGGGGAAAACCCACCTCGGGGGTGAAATAAATGGATTCTCCCACTTGCAATTTACATGCAGCCCTTAAATTCAGTCCTTGTGGAAGTCCATGTATTGGCATGGGGAGAAATGGCCATTTTAAGTACAATTTTAAAAAGATTGCAAAAGAGTAATCCCCACCACCCCTTTATTTTTGTCATAAAATATGTATACACACACACACACACACACACACACACACACACACACATATATAGTTCTGGAATGATATAAACCAAAGCGTTTGTAAGCAAATCGAATCTTTCGGATTTGGTTTGTAAACGTCTGGGCGGTGCACACGCTCAGTGCACCATCGCGGTGGCTGTGGGTGGTGCTATCTGCGGGTTTCGGTGGCCATGGCCGCCCGGCCTGGCCTCGGGGAGGTTCTCTGCTTTGCACGAAGCCCTGAGCTCCCTGGTCACGTGTTCAGATTTGTAACTGCTTTGAGGTTGATGTGTGTTACCTTCTAAGTGGAATAAGTAACAATGTGATTTCTGCGGTTTTCTGGCCAAAGGAGAAAAAGCATTTTGGCCGGGGATACGTGCAACGGGCGAAGCGCTTTGGCTGTTACCTTGGAAACAAGGGGCTTTAGCCTGGAGTTGTGGTTACCAGTCTGTCTGTAAAAGACCATGTTTTTTTTTCTGAATGGGAGCCATCGTGACAGTCACTGTGTGTGATGAGTGGTTGTTGGTTTGTTTTCAGTTATTATTGAGTATAAGTAGATATCAGCGATTTTAGGTCCCTCTAAGAAATGCTCATTTTGAAATCAGGTTGTGCAGGCCCTTCCTGAGGCTGATGGGTAACTGTAATTAACCAAAAGTGAAATTGAGGGGACATTGTTATTCATTTGTCTCATTAATTTTATAAGACTAATTTCACTGCTTGTGTATGTATTTACACAGCATGTCATTGCTCATGGGAAGGCAACCTTCTGAGTCTCTTAGAGCTAGGAGAACTTTAAAAACTCTAAGCTTTTGCCTCTACTTTTTATCTCTCTGTTTTTATTCTTTCTAACAAAAGATGTCAGTACTCATTTTTAAAGAAATAGAAAAACATTACTGCAAAAGTTTAAACCTACATCAATATTTTGACTTTTTAATGTAAAGATTATAAAAGCAACATACTGACAGAAATTGAATGTGTTGAATTTGTTATATAGGTTCCTTTTGTGTTGAGTCTTTTTTAAAATTTTTGCGTATTAGCCTATATTTCATCCAAATATATTCTCATTTTCTACTAAGACTCATTATCTAGAATATTTTGCTAGAGAAAATTTATAAATATTTCATATGCTGTAATGATTACTTGTGGGAACTCCATAAATTGGACACCATATTAAAAAGCTTTGTAAATATAGAGACCACTATTTCCCATCAAAATATCAACCTCTTCATTAAAGAAAACAATAGCTCTTCATCACTATAATTTCTTCTTTGTCTCTTGTACTTTGTTTTTTCTAACCAGGGTAAATTCACAAGATAAGAAAAGGATGGCATCTAGAGTAAATAGCAGTTTCACTTTGATTCCCAACCAGAAATATAGACGTAGTAGTCGTCGATCCAGCCATGTTTCCAACACCCTGGACTCAGATTCTCAGCCCTTATCAGGACTTGGAAACTTTAAAGCCTTGCCATTGGAAATATTCCAAATAATCTTAAGATATTTATCAGGTGAGGTTTGGGGACTATATTTTTATTTTCCCCAAGAACTAGTTTGTCATCTTTAGCCCTGCTGGAATTAATAGTATTCACATTAAGTTTATTTTCCGAAGTTTCATCATTGTTAGGTAAGAGATACAATGAGAAAGTACAATACTTAAACTTTTCCTCTTTACGTTTACTATTATTTAATATTATTATTAATGAGCAAACTTATAAATTAGTATACTGTACTAACAGTAATGTTCCTGAATTTGAGGCATTCATATATATATGTATATTTTTCCTTTGGTAGTGAAGGATATCAGCATGCTAAGCATGGTGTCCAAAACAGTCAGCCAGCACATTATTAATTATATCTCAACCTCATCAGGAAGCAAAAGACTTTTACTACAGGACTTTCATCACCTTGAGCTGCCTGGCAAGAGACAAGACTCTGCTCTGTTGGAACACTACAGATCTCTAGGTAATTTGTGTCATAGAATTGTAACAAGTAAAGAACTATACTTAGTGGGATTTTATTATACATTTCTGTGCAACTCCTGAGAAAGGGAATATTTCCTAATTGGTGCCCGTTTCTATGATGCTTTTACTCCTCAATGTGAGGACTTTCCCTTAAAGCAGCAGTCCCTTACACTAACTTCTAAAGAGAAGAGAATGCACTTCCATGTGAAGTGTCAGCCCTTATGATTTCCTGTGGATACAGTGTCACCTCTGATTTTTTTTCCAGGTGGCTTACCGGTTGAGGAAATTGATGTATATTATATTTTATTTCCTGTGGATCTAATGAGTTTTATCTTTATACCTCTTTTCCCTTTCAACCATAATCTGGTCCTTAAAATAGAAAAGAAATCTAAACACTTTATGGTGGAAGATCACTTATTCTTTTACTCTCTTATCGGAAACAATGGCTTTCTGTTTTTAAGCATTGTAGATTTTACTAATACGTCATTATGTCATGATTAAATTAATATTACCAAAGGAAATTTACATAATCTTTTTTCCCTTGATTTGTATTCATTTGTCTTTCACTCTCTTTATTGATTTTATTTTTCCTAAGAGTGCTAAAATAAAATTCTATTTTTTACTTACTTAATGACAACATCTTAATTATGAAGTCACTTTATAATCAACCAAAGCATGGCAATAAAACCAAATATCAAAGTGATCTTAAGATTTAAATAAAAGTATACAGACGAGTTAATGAATATTATGTTTTAGTAGCCCAAGGATGTCTAGCTTTAAGATAATAAAATAACACTATATAGATGTATTAATAAATAAAACTGTATTTGGCAGGTATATTTAACAAGACTAAATGAAAAGTATATGATTTTATTACAGTGTTATTGGCTTCAGTTTTTATGATTAGGCTTAGTCAAGTGTGTAACAATATGTAGTTACTTTTTGCTACTTGTTATTGTAAATACCTTTTTTCAAGCATCATTAGTTGCCGAGAAAGTGGTACTTGGTTAGGTAATGAGCTTATTCTTGGTTTTGATCTGAAAAGAACTTTTTCCCTGACCAAGGCTCAATTGCTTAAACCACATGTGTCAAACACAAGGCCCGCGGGCCAAATCCGTCCCGCCAGGCCTTGCAATGTGGCCCGCACCGCGCTGTCATCACTGCACTCCGCTGCGTTTCCATCACAATGACAGTTTATGACTGTTCAGTAAACCATTCGGCCCTCGATTTAGGCTGGATTTTAGATTTTGGCCCCTTCTCTGATTGAGTTCGACACCCCTAGTAAACAAACAAAGCATTAAGACAATTATATGGATAAGTCAGTTAAAAATACAAATTTATCCACTGTTTGTCGCAGTGGATAGAATGTCAGCCTGTGGACTGAAGGGTTCTGGGTTTGATTCCAGTCAAGCGCACATGTGTGGGTTGTGGGCTGGATCCCCAGTAGAGGACCTGCAGGAGGCAGCTGATTCAATGATTCTCTCTCATATTGATGTTTCTCTCTCTCTCTCTCTCTCTCTCTCTCTCTCTCTCTCTCTCTCTCTCTCTCTCTCTCTCTCTCTCTCTCTCTCCCCCCTCTCCCTTTGTCTTTGAAATCAATAAAAATATATATTTTTTAAAAATACAAATGTGGCCGAAACCGGTTTGGCTCAGTGGATAGAGCCTTGGCTTGCGGACTGAAAGGTCCCAGGTTCAATTCCAGTCAAGGGCATGTACCTTGGTTGCGGGCACATCCCCGGTGCAGGGTGTGCAGGAGGCAGCTGATTGATGTTTCTAACTCTCTATTCTTCTCCCTTTCTCTCTGTAAAAAATCAGTAAAAAAAAATTTTTTTTTAAATACAAGTGTGTATTGATCTTAAGAGCTAAATTTTTAAAACAGTTTTAGTCATGCAATGATTGTAACCTTATATTTAATTTTGATGCAGATATCTGGCTTCTGACTAATTCTTTAGATAAATGTTTGATGTACTTGCCATTTTCTCATGTTACTATTTCTATCTGATCTGTTCTTATTTTCAGACTTTAATGTAACATTTTCAGAATCCTGCTCTTTGAATATTATAAATTTTAATTTGCTTCTTCATATAAAACAGAGCAGATGGCCAGTGGGGAAAGAACATTACATCTGATTATTTTAGTGGGAAGAAATTAAAGAAGTTGGTCTCCAAAGGATATAGCAGAGCACTTGTGTTTTGTGTGTGTGTGTGTGTTTTTAATGTCAGCCTGTATTGGTTTATATGGTGAATTGCAACCCTTAAAAATAGCAGTTTTACATTAGAAAAGGCAACCAACATTAATTATAGCTTGCAATTCCCTAGCTATTATATACCTTGGGACTGAATGCCAAAACATGAAAGGAAAAGAACTCAGCCTAAAAACCAAACACTGAAAATGTCTTTTTATGTACAAAAGTAGGGAGGGTTTTGCCGGACCGGTTTAGCTCAATGGATAGAGCGTCGGCTTGGGGACTGAAGGGACCCGGGTTCGGTTCCGGTCAATGGCATGTACCTTGGTTGCGGGCATATCCCCAGTAGGGGGTGTGCAGGAGGCAGCTGATCGATGACTCTCTCTCATCGATGTTTCTAACTCTCTATCTCTCTCCCTTCCTCTCTGTACAAAATCAATAAAAAATATATATTAAAAAAAAAAAAAAAAAAAAAAAAAAGTAGGGAGGGTTTATGTTTAAAACTCAATTCTGGTCATGTGTTATCCAAACATAGCAACTTCTAAAAATAAATTATATTCTCATATAGTCTACAGAATTACATAAAGTAGTAATTATATTATTTTAAAATACTAAGCAGAGAAAGTAAAAACTGAACAGAGCCATGATATTCAGGCATATATTTTTCTTCCATATATCTTATTTTTAATTTGAGGATATTTGCCCTCATAGGAATGTTAGCAATGCATTGCCATTTTAGGAAAACAGACCACTCAAAGTTCGAGGGAACGAATCATTCACTTCCTGTCCCTGTAACTGAAGTTACAGACCTCTCTTGGAAATTGAAGAGCTTTTTTTTTTCATTTTTAAATATCTAAACACAAAATTCTATACATTCTTAACATGCAAACACCATAAAAGGGTATCTTTGAAGGAAGAAATAGATATTCATCCAAATTGGATATTTTTTGTGAGCAAAAATGACTTCAACTCTCTGAAATTTTAAGGACTTATGACTTTAATTGTTTTTTCCAAAAAGAATACAAAATCTCTTTTCCCATTTTTCCATGTTTTACAATTCAAAACATTTTCCTTTGTGGACATGAGGTTGATTTCAAGAGATATTGGAATATGTTTTCTATGGAATTAAGACAATATAAAGTTTCCTAGTGTATTTTTTGTCTTGTATCTTTTAAAATCTAAATAATTTTAATCAGCTTAACAATAACCCACAACCTTCGGACCAACTTAAAATCTAAATAATTTTAAACATTTCCAGATCTGTCCTATAGTATCAATTTCATAATATTTTATAAGATTTTATGTTAGTGCCTCTTAGGGAGACATCAGAGTCACTTAGTTTTCAACATATAAATGTTTTATACCCTTCCTCCCAAGTTTCCTCTTTAAAAAAATCTATCAGCTCACAGTTCACTGGTATACATACTTAATTTTCAGGAAACATTATGCAGTGCTTTATAGATTTTTTAAATTGTTGTCACTGTTTTTTCATGTGTTTGTTTTACTTTCTCAGGTTTACTATTTAAAAGATGTACATTGCTGCTACCCACAAAGGAGAGACTAAAGTACATTCACAAGATACTCGCAGAAGTAAGATTATACTTCTGAATTAGTTCACAATCTTGATTTCAGTAAAGATATTTTATTGTCTTCTTATACTCATTTAAGTTCTATTCTTAATTAGTAAAACTTCATGAATTAGTACTAAAAAATTAATTGATAATCTAATACTTTACCAAGCACTCAAAGATAATAAAACACCAAAATGTAGTAATCTTTTACTTATAGTAAAATAATTTTTATATAATTTAATACATCACTTAAGGTTATTAGGTTTATCAGAATATAAAAGTATTTTTATCCCACATGGGAATCATGAGGCTATTTTAAACTGGTGATTTAGATATTTTATTAAGAAGAAGTAATTTCTGAATGTTAAAATATACAAAAACATAGGAAAGTATTTTAATATATAAAATAACCCTTTTATGATCATTTATGACTTGCAAATGTGTATCAATGTATTATAATCTCTTTAAGAAAATGAGTTTTACTATTCAAACCCAAACACACATACAAACACTGATGGCTCAGTTCTATACTCAGTAGTATGCAAACTATTTCTCATGCAGTAGCTTTTTTCATGTCCATATTTGCATTGAATTCAGATCTATATTATTATAGCAGCTTCCCAGATAACCTTTCTAGCATCCATTCTTTCAGTCTCCAAGACAGTGAAGCAAGGTTATTTTTTCTAAAGCATCACTTTCATCAAGTTAATTTTCTTGCTAAAAATCTTTCAGTGGCTACTCAATTTCAGCAAGATAAGGTCCAAAGGCCATAGTTGGTATTTAAGGTTCTCCCTGACATGCAACTGTACTTCCTATTACTTTGAGTCTAGTTAAGTTGATCATATTTTTATTCCCAAATAACCTTTTTTTATTCCTACCTCTACACAATTTTTCCCTTATTGTTTCTCTCATCAGTTTTTTCCATTTGTTATGTCTGAATCCTACTTTAAGACATTGCTTGTTTCATATCCTTCATAAGCTTTTCTGATCATTCCCAAAATTTTCATTTCTTTGCTTTCATAATAACCGACATAGTACTTTTTTGGTCATTTTGCCATTTTTACATATTCTAACCTTAAATCATTAAAGTAACCTCACATGTGTATATCTTATCTCCTAAATAAATTGTGAGCACCTTGAAGGCAGCCTTTTTTTTAATATATTTCCTTCATAATCCCCACCTATATAATAATGCTAATCAATGTCAATGTTTTAGTTATTTTCAGTTAATACTGGAAAAATGTTTACATTTCCATTAAATTTGACTGTCAAATCATTCTCCATTGAAAAGGAGAAATGAATACTTGTTCTCTTTACAGGTTCCCTGTTTTAAATTCAGTGGCTGTGCAGCTCCTATGCAGTGTTCAGGATTATCATGTTATGGCAGGCTTTTACAGGTACTTTTTTTTTAATGAAATGAGAAAATGAATGTTTTGAACTATTGACAAGTAGAGCATGTAATCCATTGTTCCATGGGAAAATAAAGGTGGTAATAATAATTTTTAAAAAAGAATAAAATAGCCCTAGCTGGTTTGACTCAATGGATAGAGCATCGGCCTATGGACTGAAGGGTCCCAGGTTTGATTCCAGTCAAGGGATCCCCAGTGGGGGAGTGCAGGAGGCAGCCGACCAATGATTCTCTCTCATCCTTGAAGTTTCTCCTCTCTCTCTTCTCTGAAATCAATAAAAGTATATTAAAATAAAATAAAAAACTAAATAAAATTGTAAAAATTTGACCTATTAGTCTAATAAAGTTTGCCGCCTCAAATTTTCTTCTAGGATTTCTCACTGGTAAGAAATGTTTAATATTTACTTGCTCTATACCAATGTTCTCAATGTTTTAGCCATCGTTGTAAAGACTAGAAATAGCCGAAACCGGGTTGGCTCAGTGGATAGAGTGTTGGCCTGTGGACCAAAAGGTCCCGGGTTCGATTCTGGTCAAGGGCATGTACCTTGGTTGCGGGCACATCCCCGGTGGGGGGTGTGCAAGCGGCAGCTGACCTATGATGATTCTCATCAATGTTTCTAACTCTCTGTCCCTCTCTCTTCCTCTCTGTAAAAAAACAATAAAATATATATTTTAAAAAAAAAGACTAGAAATAGTGTGAGGTGTGTATGTATGTGTGTGTAATGAGTTTTAAGTCTTGGGTTAGTTATTTAAGATATGATTTTAGAAATAAAATGTATGAAAAAATTGTAACTAAGGAGGTGATAGATGTAACTAACTTCCTTGTAACCATTTTGCAATACGTACATATATAAAATTACTACAGTGTATGCCTTTAATTTACATGTTAGTAATATCTCAGTAAAGCTAGAGAGAAAAAATCAGTGGTATGATTTTAAAAATATTTTGTTGAAACTCAACTGCTGAGCCACACTTCCTGGGCTTGATTAAACTTTTATTGTAAACAAAAAAGATAATAACATAATGTAATGTTATTCGATATTAATAATATATTATCATAAATAATATATTAATATATTATATTATTCTAAGCAATTTACATGTGCTAACTTTTTTTTTTCCAGTTCTTTTTTTTTAAATATATTTTATTGATTTTTCACAGGGAGGAAGAGAGAGGGATAGAGAGTTAGAAACATCAATGAGAGAGAAGAATCATCGATCATCTGCCTCTTGCACACCCCCTACTGGGGACGTGCCCACAACCAAGGTACACGCCCTTGCCCGGAATCGAACCCGGGACATTTCAGTCCACAGGCTGACGCTCTATCCACTGAGCCAAACCGGTCCCGGCTACATGTGCTAACTTTTAAAACTTACAATAACCTTATGAGGTTTACTACAGTCTTACAACAATCTTGCTAATGTCCCAGCCTGACAGCCACCTTCTGATCCCTGGGTAGACCCTTCTACTAGCCTTCTTTCAAGATAGATTTTTTTCCCTTTCTTTCTTCTTTTAGAGAGCAGGTAATGTGAGCACATGTATTTATCCTATATAATAAAAGGCTAATATGCAAATCGACTGAACGGTGGAACAACCAGTCGCTATAATGTGCACTGACCACCAGGGACAGACACTTGACCCAGGAACTGCCCCCTGGTAGTCGTAAGCTCTCATGGGGAGTACTGCTCAGCCAGAAGCCAGACTTATGGCTGGCAAATGCAGCAGTGGTGACAGGAGCCTCTCCTGCCTCCGCAGCAGTTGAACATCCCCTGAGGACTCCTGAACTGTGAGAGGGAGCAGGCCAAGCTGAGGAACCCCCACTCCGAGTGCATGCATTTTGTGCATCAGGCCTCTAATATAAAATAAAAAGGTATAAAGTAAAAAGTAACTCTCCCTCCAAGACCTGTCCCTTGTCCACTGAGTGCCCTTCAAGAGAATTAACCAATGTTAGCAGTTTCTTATATGTCCTTCCAGAGATAATAGATTAATTTATATACTACTGAAATCCAGGTCAACTATTTTTTTTAAAATATATTTTATTGATTTTTTACAGAGAGGAAGGGAGAGGGATAGAAAGCTAGAAACATCTATGAGAGAGGAAAATCGATTAGCTGCCTCCTGCACATCCCCCACCAGGGATGTGCCTGCAACCAATGTACATGCCCTTGACCAGAATCGAACCTGGGACCCGTTAGTCCACAGACCAACACTCTATCCACTGAGCTAAACCAGTTTCGGCTAGGTCAACTATTTTAAGAAATCTTCAAAATCTAATTACCGTTTACCCTTGAACAATACAAGCATTAGGGGCACCAACCTACACATGTTGAAAATCTGTGTATAACTTTAACTCCCCCAAAATTTAAGTTGTCTCTTGGTATTCTAGGGGGATTGGTTCCAGGACTCTACACAGATACCAAAGCCATGGATGTTCAAGTCCCCTATATATAATGACATAGATCAATGCATTCAGTCAGCTCTCCATATCTATTTACTCCCAACCTCATATTGAAAACGCTACAGGTATTATATTTAGTACTGGAAAAAAAAATGCATAAGGTGGACCTGCACATTATAAGTGTTTTGTTCAAGGGTCAACTATATAGTGACATACCATTTAAATTTCCTTTCCATAGATATTTAACTATACATTTGGATTTGCTAAAAAATAATTATTAAATTTTGCTCTAATAAAATTTTTTTTGCTTGTTCACATCCAAATGTCATAAATGTTCATAATTGTCACATTAAAATGAAATCATTATCCTTTGTAAGCAATTTCATAAATGATAGCTAGAGGGAGTCAAAGGGGTTCTACTGTAGTCTAAAATTAAGCCACAGTTTTAGACTGTTTATAGTCAGATGTCTAAAGTTGCGTTCGAGGGTTTGGGCCTTTGCTATTTTCCTCATACTTATTCATACTGTCAGAGTTCAAGATTCAGTATCATTTAGAAGTTCTCTGAAAACATACACCCTTTACAATGAAAAAGAAACTGGATTGGGAGTATTCCTATTTTTATATAAAATGTCTTATTAATGTCAATTGTTCCATAGTGGATAAAAATTACACATCACCTGGATCATATGCTATGACAGTTATATGCTCATTAGGCAATAGTGACTTATGTTTTGATTTGTGTTCTAAACATCTGCAATGTTTCATTTATTTTATTATCCTCAGACCTTAACAGCAGGTTGGGATGAACTCGAATGCCATCGTGTTTTTAACTTTTTATGTGAGCTGACTGATCTCTCCCGCAAAATGCAGACCATTGTCTTCAGCAAACCAGGTAAAGAATCAAAATTCAGAAATAACATACAGAAGTTAAAATAGAAAAAAAAGAAAAGAAAAGAAAAAGAAAAAGAAAAAAAAAGCACAGTTCAAAAGGATATTTAAAAATAAATTGTGGCGGAAACTGGTTTGGCTCGGTGGATAGAGTGTCAGCCTGCAGACTGAAGGGTCCCAGGTTCGATTCCAGTCAAGGGCATGTACAGTGGTTGCAGGCACATCCTTGGTGGGGGATGTGCAGGAGGCAGCTAGTCGATGTATCTCTCTCATCGATGTTTCTAGCTCGTTATCCTTCTCCCTTCCTCTCTGTAAAAAATTAATAAAATATAAAAAATAAATAAATTGTGATATCTATTTATAGTTAAACAACAAAGAAATATAAGAGAATGATAAACACTGAATTGGATAGTGAGGCTCAAGTGGCATGTGATTAGAGAAAGAGAAGTACTCAGATGGCTTCAACTGTATTAATAATATTTTATTACTTAAGCTAGATACATGCCATAACATGAATGAACCTTCAAGCCATTATGCTAAGTGAAAGGATCTAGTCACAAAAGACCACGAACTATATGACTTCATATGAAATCCCAGAATAGGAAAATTTATATAGACAAGTAATAAATTATTGGTTACTTGGGGCTGGGAGTGGTAACTAAAAGAGCAGAATTTCTTTTTTGAGATGCTCAAATATTCTAAAATTCACTTGGTGATAGCTGCACATATCTGTGAGTATACTAAAAACCATTGAATTGTACACTTTAAATGGGTGAATTGTATGCAATGTAAATCATATCTCAATAAAACTTTTTAAAAACAATCCCTTAATAATCTAAAAATTTTACAGAGGAAAGTGAATTAATGCTTTTAGTATATTAACAATTGTATAATAATAAATTTGACTTATTTATTATGCACATAAACCTTTCTAGGAAGAATGACTTACAAGCCTTTTGTGTTCATAGGAAATTCCCGAAAACTAGAGTTAAGGATCAGACTGTTCTGTAGGAATGTCCTGTTTGATCACTGGACACATAGAAGTGATTCTGCTTTTTGGTTGACACGTATATTAAAACCATGGCCAATGGTGAATCAGGCAAGACTACTATATATCATCTTTGGACCAATATCTCCTCAAGATGGTGAGCATTTATTTTTTAGCAATATATGTTATAAAACTGGTTAATTACTTTTACTTTAGGAAGCATATCTTTTTGTACTTGTTCAGTTTCATCATTCCTAAAATATTTCATGATTTCATGGATTTATACATTAACTTGTGCATAGCTTAAGCTTCAAGACAGAAATTGTTCCCTGCAGGCCATTACCAAATATATTCCTATCATCTCTGGTTTACCTAAAATAGCGGCTTTTCATTTTTAAACATTATCTTAATTCAAGACTATGTTTGTTGCCCTAACTGGTTTGGCTCAGTGGACAGTGTCGGCCTGCGGACTGAAAGTTCTCAGGTTTGATTCTGGTCAAGGGCATGTACCTTGGTTGCGGGCACATCCCCAGTAGGAGGTGTGCAAGAGGCAGCTGACTGATGTTTCTCTCCCTTCAATGTTTCTAACTCTCTATCCTTCTCCCTTCCTCTCTGTGAAAATCAATAAAAAATATATGTTTGTTGCTAAATAAAAAATCAACTGGACAACTCTGTTTTGATATGTTTTGATACTCAAATAAGCATGTTCTCTTTTTCAGATTTTATTTTATTTCAGTAAAATTACATTATCTGTTCCAATTTTTGTTATCAGAATAGTATTATCTTTTTACTAAAAGCACTATTCTGCCTGGTGAAACTTCTTTTTTTTTTTTTTTTTTTTTTTTTTTTTTTTTACTTCATTTAGCTATTATGGCTATGCTTCATCACATCAGTTAGAGACATTCAAATTTATACTGTTATCAGAATTGACTTTCATTATGAAAATAGCACATATAAGTAATGAATTCCATTATGCAATCCAATTTCCTTTTTAAATAATCCATGAAGTCTTTATCACAAAGTCAACTATTCTGTCATAACCTAATTTTTGTTTCAATTATCATTCAGGACAAGTGGTTTGGCAGAAAATGATAGAAGAACCTACAGATGAATCTAGTCTGAAAGGCCTGGCTGATGCCATTAAATTACTATATGACACAGGCATCAAAGAGTGGACAGCAGATGATGTTATCAGTCTTATAGATGAACTATCAGGTAAAATAACATATTTATCACACAGAGTAACAGAAATTTGTTGTTAGAATACAGTTATAAAATTATAATGGTAATTCTACAGGTAACAAGTGACTTGTCTATCATTAAATGCTTTAAAATATTTAAAGAATTAGGCATTTTTTGAAGAGACTGGATATAATCAACTTACTTTTCTTCAATTGTGAATGTAATAGGTATATTTTTGTTACCAATATTATTTGAAAGCTTCATAATTTAATTATTCCCATTTTGCAAGTTCTCAAAAACACCTTCCTTGGCTGCGTAAATATATTTTTTTAAATATATTTTTTATTGATTTTTTTCCAGAGAAGAAGAGAGAGGGATAGAGAGCCAGAAACATCAATGAGAGAGAAACATTGATCAGCTGCCTCCTGCACACCCCTACTGGGGATGTGCCTGCAACCAAGGTACGTGCCCCTGACCAGAATCGAACCTGGGACCCCTGAGTCTACAGGCCGACGCTCCATCCACTGAGCCAAACCGGTTTCGGCAGAAGAATCCCTCTCTTGGTATGGCAGAAGTGAAACAATTTTTCCCATTTATGCATAATTCTTTAGATTCTGAAGTTTTCAAGAGTTCTTTCCTTTCATGTGATTAAGCCACCTTGTTTATTGATCTATCTGTAGGAAAAATGCTTTGACTATATTACTAGTACATGTGTAAGAGCTGCCATGACATGGCAGTAATCTCTGCCTCCAGTTAAATGCTGGAATTAAGAAACTAAAGCATTTTTTCTGAGCTTTTCCCTTGGCAATAATTATATTTCCAAAGAAGTGATATAATAGTGCATGTAATTAATGATGTTTACTATAGCTATTGTGCAATTTCTCATAGTAACTGTTCTTTCTCTAATAAAAGTGGTTCCTCGGGAGTGGCTTCTAGAAAATAATGCACGTCTCCTAATCCTAAGTGGGAACGACATCTGTTTCACTTTCATGGCTAGTAAAGCTGTGAATGGACGGACCGCTGAACTGGCAAGACTGATAGTCTTTTTGGCTTTGGTAAGTAAAAAATAAGTTTTCTCTAACAAGTTGTTTAACATTATAGTTGACCTGCCAAGAAGCTGCCCTGAAGGAACTGAAATATGTACAAAACATTTTGAAAGAATAAGTATATAGGTATATATCTTATAATATATACTTATAAAAATTTAAAATACATGTAACAGCCCTGGCCAGTGTGGAGCATCGTCCCGAGTACCAGAGGGTCTCAGGTTCCATTTCCCACGTCAAGGGCAAGTACCTGGATTGTAGGTTAATTCCCGGCCCCAGTTGGGGCAAGGGCTAGAGTCAACTGATCAGATCGATGTATCTCTCTCATATATCTCATATTTTCTCTCTCTCTCTCTCTCTCTCATATGTCCTTCTCTCTCCCTCCATCTCCTCCCTTCCTCCTTTCCACTCTAAAAAAAAAAAAATCAATGGAAAAATATCCTTGGGTGAGGATTAACAAAAAATACCGTATTTTTTGGACCATAAGACGCACCAGTTTTTAGAGAAGGGAAATGAAGAAAAAAAGATTCTGAAACAAATAGTGTCCTAAAATATTTTATGTGCATTAAAACCCAACATCACAGTCATAAACACATGTAATCAACCCTGTAAAGTAAACAGCAGCATTTAGAACCATTTTAGAGCTGGGCAAGCACACACAGACCACACAGAGCCGGGCAAGTAAAAAAACTTTTTTTTTAAAAGTATATGTGTAGGATATATTTGGACCATAAGACGCAGGGACTTTTTCCCCCCACTTCTGGGGGGGAAAAAAGTGCGTCTTATGGTCCGAAAAATACGGTAAATAGTGCCGGGACCGGTTTGGCTCAGTGGATAGAGCGTCGGCCTGCGGACTGAAAGGTCCCGGGTTCGATTCCGGGCAAGGGCATGTACCTGGTTGCGGGCACATCCCCAGTAGGGGGTGTGCAAGAGGCAGCTGATCGATGATTCTCATCAATGTTTCTAGCTCTCTATCCCTCTCTCTTCCTCTCTGTGAATAAATCAATAAAATAAAAATAAAAATAGCTCTTAAAAAAAGGAAAAAAAATAGTAATAGTAATAAACTATCATACTTGGAGTTATTCTCTGTATTAACCTCTCCCTAATTCATGTCTAGATTGTCATCATACAGCTCTGCCAAGTTATATTCTTTTTTCAAAAATTCTATTAAAAAATAAAGTACTTGCCCTGTCCAGTGTTGCTCAGTGGATAGAGCATCAGCCTGCGGACTGAGGGCTCCCGAGTTGGATTCCTGGTCAGGGCACAGGCCTGGGTTGTGGCTCCATCCCTGATGGGTGGTGTGCAGGAGGCAGCCGATCCATGATTCTCTCTCATCATTGATGTTCCTCTCTCTCCCTCTCCCTTCCTCTCTGAAATCAATTAAATGAAATTAAAAAATAAAAAATATAGTACTCTATTTGATTTGCTTCAGAATAACCAATGGGCAGCAGGGAGAGGATATGGTAGGGAATGGAGGTAAAGGTGAAACAAGATTGGTAAGCTGGAAAGTGGATACACGGGATTCATTATACTATTCTCTCTACTTTCTATAGTTAAAATGTTTTCAAAACAAAACATTTAAAATATATTTAATATTCATTTAATAAAAATTGAGATTTTACTACAGGCCACACTATGTGAGATTCTAGGTTATGGAAATTCATAAAACAGTTCTCTGACAGAAAGCTGTTTATAGTGTTTTAAGTGATATTAAGGTATATATAAATAAATTCAGTGAGGTAAGTGCAAAACTATATATGCAGAAAGATACAATCAGAGGTAGCAAAGAGGAGCCAATATGGGTGAGAGTAGAGCATAGTGAGGGCTTTCTCAAACCAAATTTATTTTTAAAAATGAATAGAAGTTCACAAGGCAGAGAGGGCAAATCACTATTTGGCTACCATCGCAGATGCCAGCTCAACCAATGCTTCACAAGCAATGGAGTAATCCTCAAGTTGGCTGTTGTGAGGAAGAATTGAAGTAATTCATTTCCTATGAAGTGGAGACAGGGTTATTACCAACTCAACTGCTTAAAACATGAATGAAACCTCTGTGGCTCTTTTTAAAGTGTGAATAAAGCTACTAAAGTAATTTCAATATAAATATTTATTTTAATAATTAAACACACTTTCTCCAAAAGAGAGGGGAAGAGAATTGCATGGCTATATTCACAGGACTGTAAGTAGCTCAGTATTATTTCTGAAGGGTAAAATGTAAGGAAGAGGAAGAGGAGGAAGCGTGATCAGACAGAAAGGGAGAGGCTAGGTAATGAAGGGCTGGTAGACTTTCTGTGGAGCTTGAACACATCCTCTAATAGGGAGCTGCTGAAAAGTTTTAGGGAGGGGAGTGAGGTGATCAGCTTCGAGTTCTTAATATCATAGGTCACTCTGACAGCACCATAGCAAACAGAATGGAGAGGGAGTCACTGGGTGAAGAAGCCTTCCAGAAAGCCTTCCCTGATTATCATCTCAACTCTGATCATTAATTTTCCCTAAATTGCCTCAGATTTGTCTTCTCTTTATCTTCATTTACTTATAGTGGTAAGTTATCTCCCAAAACAGATTGCAAATTCTTTGATATCCAGGACTATGTCACATGCTTTTCATAGTGCCTTGTACCATTCCTTACACATAAGTAGAATACATCTTTCCTATCAGATTAATATTGTTTAGTGATACTACTATAAAGTTTATTTTCATGCTGCATATTATTTAGCTATATGTTAAAATGGCCATTTAGAATGTTAATAATAAACCTTTTTCTTTCAGTTTTAACTATTAACATGTAGTCTTTCCTTTAAATATTTATCTTTTAAACAATAGAAAGATAAATATTTCCTACAACTTCCAAGATAAAAAGTTGATAATACTATAGAGTTCTCTTGCCTATTGAAATTTCTTGTTTGTCTGTCACCCTGATTAGACTCCTTCAAAATAGAAGCCCTGTCTTTATGGCTTATCATATTTCCACCTCTTAGCATGTGCTCCATCAATATCTATTGCATGAGTGAAAGGGCAGAAGTCTGTTGTCCATAAAAATAACAATTGTTTTTTATATTAATTCTTACATTAATATTCTATAATAAGATACAGAGTCAGACTGACAGTTCGTCTGGGTAAAAAAAGATTAAAGAGATTAAGAAGTACAAATTGGTAGTTACAGAACAGTAACAGATATGTAAACTATAACATAGGGAATACAGTCAATAATATCATGATAGCCGAAACCGGTTTGGCTCAGTGGATAGAGCATCGGCCTGCAGATTGAGGGGTCCCAGGTTCGATTCCGGTCAAGGGCATGTACCTTGGTTCTGGGCACGTCCCCCCTAGGGGGTGTGCAAGAGGCAGCTGATCGATGACTCTCTCTCATAAATGTTTCTAACTATCTCCCTTCCTCTCTGTAAAAAAATAAATAAAAATATATATTTTTTAAAAATAGTATCATGATAACTATGTATGGGATCAGTGAGTACATGATTTTCTAACCACTATGCTGTACATCTGAAACTAATACAGAAAAATGTTAAATGTAAACTAAATTGAAAATGTAAACTAAATTGCCCTAGCCAGTTTGGCTTAGGGGATAGAGAATCGGCCTGTGGACCAAAGGGTCCTGGGTTTGATTCTGATCAAGGCCACATACCTTGGTTGCAGGCTCCTCCCTGGCCTGGGCCCTGGTCAGGGAGTGCAGGAGGCAACTAATCAATGTGTTCCTCTCACATCGATGTTTCTCTGTCTTTCTCTCTCTCTTCCAGTCTCCCTAAAAATCAATGGAAAAATATCCTCATGTGAGGACTAATAAATAAATAAATAAATATATATATAAATAAATATATATATAATAAATATATATATAAATATATATAATGCCATGTGTAATAAATAAATTATATAAAATTATAAACCATCATAGTTAATACAATTTTCAAATTTTATAGCTTTCTTTAAATGAAGATATTCCATAATGCTTTGTATGTCTAAATCAGGTGTGCGAGAAAGAACTATACTGCATGGACTGGGCAGTTAAAATGATGCAAAAAGTCTGTAAAGTCTTTAGTACCTCAGTTGAAAAAACCAGCTTCCTGCAGAATGTGGCAAATGCATTTGCATGTATTATAATGGAAATGCTGCAGTCAATTATGTCTGGTGAGTATGCATGTAGATGGTGCGCAGGAGTGAATAAATGCATTCTAGTCTCCACTTGAGACAGGAATAATTCTGTGTAGACTTTTATTTCTAAACCAACAATAGAAGGAGTAGACATTTTTTGTTTGCTTTTCCATGGGATATATTTAGTTTCTGGTCTTGTCACTTTTTTAAATCTGATATTAGTTTTAATGGAAGACAAAGTCAAAGAGTCTGCTCTGATAGGATCCGATTTCCCTTTATCAGGTCAAGAGGTGATTTAAATTAAGGGCTAATGAGGCTGACATAACGCTGGAGCCCTCCTGGATTTTCCAATTCTCCTCCTCGGGTGAACACACAACTTTTCCCACTCAACTTTTCAGACACCGGCTCTCTTTTTCCAAGCCCTCAATTTAAATCACCTCTTGACCTGATAAAGGGAAACAATTTTAACTTGTTCACTAATCAACCATCATACTCATCACAATAATATCCTGTATTTGTATAGTTTTAATGTACATTTTTTACAGTTTTATTAGGTAGACAACATGATAATTAACCCTATTTTACAGATGAGAAAACTAAAGCTTATCGGTAGATAGTTATCTGACTTACCCTCAGTCATAAAGTTGAAAGTAACATGGACCAGCATCCTTTTCTCAGACTTCTAAGTTAGTGCTGTTATAGAATTCCATGATCTCAATGGTTAACATCTGATTAAGATCAATAACTAGTCTTCTGCTACGTATATTAGAAAAAATTGGGACATCTTATGTTTTAAATAGATCATATATTTAAAACTTTACTGTCATTTTCCCCCAACTGTCCATTCTTGTGTATGGCATATAGGAGATCGAGATGAAGAGGACAGAATCTTTTTGAATTTGTTCCATCTTGTGCATGCTCAAGCTAATTTCCATAAGGAGGTCCTGTATTTGACCATCAATTCTATCGCTACCTAAATACTCAGAAAGCCGTGCATTTAGAGACTACCTCACTGAACTAACGATGAGAAGAATGCTCCTTTCCACAATCAAAAAAGAGCGCCCAGGGAACTTTTTATGACCCAAGTAATTCTAAAGTTGCACAGCATTTTAGTGGCAACTGCTTATATTATTAATATAAAAATTATAGGCAAACCCAAGAATATATTGAGATTATTCTAGAAAACAAGCTGTTTCTCTCCAGACTTTATAAACCTAACACCAAAATTTAGTGTCCAAGAGTCTGGGGCCAACCAGACTGTATGTATGAGACTTTGAAGCAAGAGAAAATTTTGTTTTGTAGTTGAGCAGACCCAAATTTAGTATGTATCTGTTCACTGTGCTTAGATTGTGTAGACATAGCCTAGAATGTTTTATGAAGGTTTGCAATATGATGTTTTGGAATGTGCAGATATAAATCACATTTTAAACCACCTTGTTGGCATATAGTTATAAAGACCATTATATTTTGTTCATTTTTTGTATAAACTAACAGATCAAAACCAAAGAAAGTATGTGTGTATATGTATATACATATCCATAAATATTTATATATGTACATATAGACAAATATATATATATATTATAAATCATATAAAAAGTCTATAAAGAGAGGGGTATATAGTGTTTTAATACAAATCATATTTTATTTTCTGGGGATTAGAGTAAAATGTTGCAAATAAGGGAAAATATAAAATGAAAGAAAATATTCTGATGCCAGCACAATATGCACAAATAATTTGCACTTCTTCCTAAAGCTTTTCTCCCTATCTTAAAGAGTAGAACTTGAAGAAACTGGAAGCATGGATGTAAAAGCAACCCAGGAGTGGGATTTTTCTTCACTCAAATAAATGAATTCTAAGAAGCTCCAGGGCTATTTCAGTCTGACTAGCATCACTTTTACTATTAAAGTAGAAAATAATAGCGCCTAATGAGGCTGACATAACGCTGGAGCCCTCCTGGATTTTCCAATTCTTCTCCTCGGGTGAACACAACTTTTCCCACTCAACTTTTCAGACACCGGCTCTCTTTTTCCAAGCCCTTAATTTAAATCACCTCTTGACCTGATAAAGGGAAGAAACAACTAGACGATATAGAAATTACCTGCAGAAGTAGGATAGAAATAGTGTAAAATTTTCAAGTATTTGGCAAGTGGGGCTCAGTAAGAGATTTAATAAGATTGAGGAAGAGTGAAATTTGTGGAGGAAATGTAAATTTTTATAACAAGATTTTACTAAATTTCAGTAGCATAAGCACTTAACCTTGGATGGTCAGAAACTAACTGCCTTTCTTTGATGGATTGTCCAACTGTAATTCCATCGGTTGCAGGAATTATTTCTCCAGAGGTTAGCCTTTGCATATTTATGGGGGGAAAAACAAGTCCTTGCTTTTATCCTAGTTTCATTTTCTTCCTCTCAATTTCATTTTCTTCCTTCCAGTTCACCACTAAATTATGAAGATTAAAAGTTGGCAGATACCAGAGTACAAAACATTTTAATTAGCTTTTTGTTTTCTCTCTCACTCTTTTTCTCTTACATGCTTTGGAAAACCTAACCATTTACTTATCAAAATATTAGTAATTCCAAGTTGAGAATATACTCCATTAGATTATTGGGGGAGGGAGGGAATGAAGGAAAGAAAGTAAAAAATTTAACATAGTGAATATTTTAAAGTTTATTACATAGATGTTAAGTTTCATTCTCTTAGAGAAGCAATTTGGCATTGTGAAGTTTCCTTGTGTTCCTTGAATTACCTAAGTCTCTACAATAGTTATTTTCAGAAATTTACAAAAGAAGAATGGCTTAATTTAAAAGTTTTTTACCTGGATTTTGAATCTCATATACTTGACATGACTGCTGCTGTAAAATTTGAAAAACACATTATTGCATTATTCTCGATACTTGTGAGATCATTATCTCACCATCCTGAGAAATTTGGGACGTAAAAAATCTGATTCATTCTTTGGGTATAATAGGTAAATGATATCATCTTGCTACCAATAAAAAGTAAATTGAAAAATTCTTCATTCAATTATTAATAAATAAAAATAACTTTTGAGATAAAATTTGCAGTTTCCTCAATTCAGCAATCCAGTGTGGTTTTTATTATTATTATTATTATTATTATTATTATTGTTGTGTTTTTTTTTTACTTTTTGGGTCGACAGTAATTTTATTGTAACAGAGAAACCAGGCTGCAGTAAATCTATACAATTAGAGTTGATGGTGGTTATCTTTCTAAAGGGTGAATGAAGCCCGAACCCAGCTGGACAGCAGTCCAGTTTTTTTGCTGAATATATTCGTCATTAGGAATAAAGTGTGATATCAAATTTTGAAGTGGGAGCCTAAATTGTGAAAGCATATTATCATTAATATTGATATTTAAGTTATGGTATATGCAATCATATTGCCACAAAAACCGAGCATGTGCAAAATGAATAGCCTAAGAATGTTAGATTGTTCACTCCTAGCTGACTCTAGAATAGTCATAATAACAATACTAACAATTCAAATCATTCATTTATTCTGTACCTTTTTATGAATTAGAAGATTAACCTGGGCTTCTAGCTCTTTTTTTTCCTTTTCATAGTGATTTCCTCAGAATTCTTTGACTTCTATTTGTAGGATGATTTTTACTTCGACTAGAAGGCAAGCCCAAAAAGCTCAATGACAGCATTACATTGAACTTTACTATTGTTTCTAAACACACACACACACACATACCATAATAGTACTAATAACAAACTAATGGTACTACATTTCTTAGACACTAATTTAAAGTTTATTTCTTGTGATAAATACTCTGTACTTTATGAAACCATAAAACATCTTTTTTTTAAATATATCTTTATTGATTTTGTTAGAGAGAGAGGAAGGGAGAGGGATAGAGAGATAGAAACATGGGTGAGAGAGGAACATCATCAATCGGCTGCCTCCTGCATGCACTCCACTGGGGATCAAGCCCAGCAACCCAGGCATATGACCAGTGACCACTTGGTTCCTGGGTCGGTGCTCAACCCCGGAGCATATCAGGTTGGCTAAAAAAATATCTTCTTAATACTTTTTTGGATAATTCCTTCTCATGCCCTTCTGACTCCTCAACTTTGTTGTTTTCACGATCCGGCAGTAAATTACTGTACCTGGGAAGCCTTTCTGGCTTTGAAGAGTTTAAGGCTGCTCTCCCATGGCATGAACAATAGGCACCTATTTCACACCTTTCCCATCTCTGATAGCTTAATTCATGCTCCCAGTTGTTTTGTTAATAACAAAGATTTTATTGCCATGATAATTTTTCACCTTTGGAATTTAGAGCAAGTGTGATGTGCCCAGTAGAAAAGGTACAAGTGGAGGAACCATCTTATGTCAGCAAAAAACAACTATTAATCTCTTCGTGTGGCTATTACCTGAGTTAACTTCTTTTTTTTTTTTAAATATTTTTTATTGATTTTTTCCAGAGAGGAAGGGAGAGAAATAGAGAGCTAGAAATGTCGGTGAGAGAGAAACATTGACCAGCTGCCTCTTGCACACCCCCTACTGCCAATGCACATGCCCTTGACCGGAATCGAACCTGGGACCTTTCAGACCGCAGACCGACGCTCTGCCACTGAGCCAAACCGGTTTCGACCTGAGTTAACTTCTTTAAGTGAATAGTACTGAATTATATGATTAGAAATGTTTATGTCAATAAATATTGTGAAGGATAAAAATACAAAGCTGCTGTAAAAGCCTCATGTTATTGGATACCTTGCTAGCAATGTAACTTCTTTACCAATTCCACTACAGGCAGCTGTGAACCCTGTCAGAAACCAGTCTGTGGACATAGCTCCTTGGTTTATTGAAACATTACTAGACTAAGAAACATTACCAGCCCAAAAATAGTTGTTTTGGGCAGTCTTTCCTAGGTTACAAAAAAGTGCCAAAGGACTGACTAAGAATACTTTTTTTTCATCAAGAAAGAAAATATAACTCCAGAAAACTCTTCGTAATTAGACTAAAAAAACAAGCTTAGTTTAACCTTTGAAAGCCTTTTAAGTTAAAAACAAAATAAAACAAATGCTTATAGATATTCTAAGATCATAGCTTCAAGGTGCACAAACTAAAAAGTATGATTATTATTTTTAAAGTATTGTGTTTATGGTAAAATGTCTTTGATACGTAAATATTTAATATTTGTTAACTTTTATTTATTTTGTTATTTATATTAATAAAATAAAAATAAAATTAGAAACATTTCTAAGTTGTCCAGTTTGTCATTATGCAAGTCATTGAATGTATAAATTTCTTTAAATTATTTCTTTTTGAGGAACTTATTTTTATTTAAGCTTTTATTTATTAAAGCTCTGCCATGATCAAAATATAAAATGCCTTAACATAAAATAATGTTTAATTAGCTATATATTTATGTATATGTATGCTTAATATTATAGTATATAAATTAATTTCATTTACTAGCAACAATTCCTAAGTTGTATAATAATCTGTAACTACAACAGTATTCTATACTGTTCTGTTATCTATTTCAGATACCAAATCCCCAACCAATTAATATTTTAATTCCTGCTAAAATGGATATGCTACAATTAGTTTAATACTAATTTCAAAAAACAAAATATGTAATTAAGTATTGTGTATTACCTGTTATTTCCCATGACTACAAGATATTGCAGTGTTTTTTTAAGAACAAAAAGTTATTAACTATTTCTAAATGTCTTCCTTAGTGAGTTTGAGTTTATAATGGAAGTTGTGTCAATGACTTTTTCTGTTTCTCTCTTTATATATGACTTTGCTTTATTTTTGTTTAAAATAGATGAGAGCATGCCGGGACCGGTTTGGCTCAATGGATAGAGCGTCGGCTTGGGGACTGAAGGGTCCCGGGTTCGATTCCGGTCAAGGGCATGTACCTTGGTTGCGGGCATATCCCCGGTGGGGGGTGTGCAGGAGGCAGCTGATCGATGACTCTCTCTCATCGATGTTTCTAACTCTCTATCTCTCCCTTCCTCTCTGTACAAAATCAATAAAATATATTTAAAAAAAAAAAAATAAAAAAAAAAAAATAAAATAGATGAGAGCAAAACTAGAAGAGGCCATTGTAACAAACATTTGGAGGTTGGTAAAGGCAAAGTATATAATTTACAAAGATAATTTTTTATTTCAACTATTCTTTAGTATTCTATTAAGGGAAATTCCCATTATTTGTAAATAATTTAAATTAAAATGATACTCAAGGGATTTTGAAATTTGAATGCTTATTATAAGCCTTTTATAAGCAAACATTTTCTGAAAGTTAACAAATTAATGTCATGCTAAGCTTCAAACTCTGAAAGTTTGGATTTGATTCCATATACTCAGAGCTCATTGCTTGGATGAGTCTAGCTTAGTAACATTTATCTTTCCATTATTTAACTATTTCCCAAAATATGTCCTCTTGCTCATAAAATAAAATACATCACTTTTCCATACAAACCCTTTATTCCATACAAACCCCTTATTTTTAATCAATAAAGCAGGTATTAATATAATAATTCTTAGCATTATGCCACATTAATTTTTTCCAAGTATTCTATAATTATTTAGAGATGTTTTTATTGCATTTATGTGGGCCAAGTATAATCCCCTTTCTTAGGACATGATTGCCCTATGACACAGATTTATAAAATTTATCCAAAACCTTATATTACCGACCTAGCCGGTGGATGGAGCATCAGCCTGTGGACCAAAAGGTCCCAGGTTCGATTCCAGTCAAGGGCATGTACCTTGCTTGGTCAGGCCTCAAGCAGGAGAGGCAACCAATCGATGTGTTTGTCTCATATCAATATTTCTCTTGTCTTTCCCTCTCTCTTCCACTTTCTCTAAAAATTTAATGGAAGAATATCCTTAGATGAGGTTTAAAACCAAACACAACCTTATATTACAGAAGCAATGTTTTCCAGTGTTTTAATATACAAAAAGTTTAAATATGAAAAAATTTTTAAATTATCAAAATGATAAACACTGTAAAACACTGTTATAAACTGGCATTATTATAGGATGGATATAAGCATAAAGTTGGGTGCAGCTACAGCGTTTGGACAGGGTCAAGCCTTGGACTGATCAGAGGGCACAGTCCTCTCATGGCCACGTGCAAGTCCCAGCGTGGAGGGCAGAGCCTCCCTGCACAATGATAGCCAGCAGCTGTGGTTGTCAGCGTGAACCTGTGGTCCAAACACGTGGCCCACGTGCCTGAGTGCTAGAGGCTGCAGGTAAACAAAGCCTGATCAGGTGCTTGTAATGGAGTAAGATCAAAACCCACGAGAATGCTGTAAACATCTTGACCACGCCCTTACTTTGCCTCGTGGCATCTGCTATAAAATAAAGACTCGGCTGGTGGGAGTTGGCGCTGTCTCTCAGAAAGCCCCATCCCACCAAGAAGCAGCTTTCATTCTTTTGTCTGTCTTTTCTGAGCCTTTCAGCCACCCCCTTGGCCATGCAGGCGCGGCCCACAAAGTCATAACATTTCTTCCAAAATGTAATTATTTCACAAGTAACTGAAAATATGGATAATCTTTCTGTCCTTAGATTGTGCCCGGTGCCAGTGGTATATATCACTGTTGTATAACTGAAAATCGGCGGATTGTTTTCACTGAATTGATTAGTCACTTCAACTTTCTGTGGATTCAGACTGAAGAGCCTTGATCTCATGAAAAACTTCAGAGCGAGCTTGATTAGAGACTATACCATGAAGATTATACCACATAATTAACTGTTACTTGGACCCCTCCAAAATACTAACACTTCCCTGATTGCCTAGGAAATGACCTAGAGCTGCTATCTTGATTTGAAGAAAATTTTCGTTTCAAACACAAAACTATGCCAAAGAGTCAGAGGAATGTTTTACTGGGAAATATCATATCAAGGACTCCACAGATAACAAAAGATCATCTCTGAATGTATTAATGGTCAGGCCAGGCTTTTGCATTGGTGTATCTATCAGATTACCTATTTTTGTTACAAACCACCATGGCCAAGGACCACTGATATATATTTGGGGTAAAAAATAGTCATTTTTTCCCCTCACAATGTGCCAAAAGTCTTGTAGTTGAGTTTTTGTCATAAAATGTCACTTGGGGAGAGCAGGAAAGTGGACTACTGTTAACTATTAAGGTTTTTTGTTTTTTTTTAAGATTTCTGTTCTCAAAGATGTAGTTTTCAAAGATGATGCATCCTAGAATTGTAGAACTTCAAAGTGGATATTAACAATTTTCTAGTCCATCGCTTCCATTTGTCAGAAAAAAATGAAACCCTGAAAGGTTCAATGACTTACTGAAGGTCACATAATTTGTTGCCAAGACAAAAAGCTTCTAGAACAATGTTTTTCCTTGGCCAGAATTCTAAAATGCAAGTTTTTCATTTTAATTGACAATATATTATAATGCCTCGATTTTATTTCTTTTTAAAACATGGGAATGGGACACAATGGTATCGGTAAACCGATTAAGTTCATCTTTCTTGTTTATTTTTAAGCTAAAAAATCAAATGTAAAACAATTATGATGGATTTTTCAGTCTTTTCTGGACCCCAAAATATATGGTTTCTTCAACCTGAATTGGACAGAAAATAAGTTGAAAGGTTTTTTCCAGAAAAGAAACATTTGACAACTTAAAAAAGCATTTACTTTGCAGTAAGAGAGATATTTCTCCCAAATAACAAGCATAGCCATCTTGTTTCAATAATTTATGACTCAGCCACGCACAAAGAATGAGAACTATAGAACTGTTTCTCTCTTTCAGTGAGAAGCGGGAGCGCAAATGTTAGGGGAGCGAGGAAAGTAAATCTTAAAAGCTCAGATGACAAGTTCCTTCAGGCTAGAGACTAAGTCAAAGGAAATCACACAGCCCCAGATTGTGCAATCTATAGCAGCAGGGGTGAAGTGGCTAGGTCAAGAGAGACAATGTGGTTTTGGGCTTAACAAAGGAACACCTTCGTGTGAGGGAAAGAAAACACCTAAGGAAAGGCTCTCCTATCTAAATGAATTTTGAGAAGCTCTCTAGGGTCATTTAAATAAGTCTCCATTTCAGCTATCCGTGTTTTCAGCTTAGAGCTCAAAAGCACGCACACCTGCCAGCCATGCCCGTGAATTCCTGATGTCCCAGCCGAGTGCCTCAGACTCTGAATTCCAGAAGTCCCTTGCTTGACCATATCCGGAAGGCTCTGGAAGGGATCTGTTTGGGCGGCAGGGCAGCCGCTGTTGATAAGAGGCCTCTTGCTGGACCGGAGACCGGGAACTGTGGGAAACGCAGAAACAACAGGGTCAGATGGGAACGGCGGCAAAGGTCTCCGTTCCTTCCCTGGTCTTAGGCTCTGGGGACTAAGAAAAGAAAGAGGAGTTCCACCTCTCCTTTCCCCCAAACCCCACTCCTCAGTAATTCTCATTTCCTAGCTCATCTTCAAGTGAGAATGAGTCATGAACGCAACGGTGCAAGCATAATTGTAAACCACCCTGCTGGCATAGAATGACGTGTTTTTAACCTTTAATTACCGGAAGAGAACGGACAACTTGGAGTTTGAGCAACTTGAGAGAAAAAGCTACAAAATTATAGTCCCTCCCACCATGCACACCACTCCCAACTCAGTCTACCTAAAAATCCTTCACCTAGTGGCTTTCATTTTTTTTTTTTAATGTTTTAAATGAGGTCACAAAGAAAAAAGTCGGCATTTCTTATTCTTTTCAGAGTGGTCTGAGAAATACTACATCAATGCATCTGGGAGGGGGGTGGGGGATTCAAAAACAAGATCTCTCTTAATTTTGTTTTTGAATCAATACCCGAAATAATGACCAGAAGCAAAAATCCACCGGTGCGTCAGCAAAGCAGGATCCTCGGCTAGCCAGCTTCATCCTTCTTCCCTGAGCGGTTCTCCTGTGGGCTCCGCCGCAGCTGCAGGCACTAGAGCAGATAGATGATGTAGGAGAGAATGACCAGGCCTATGATGGCAAAGAACATCAGGATGAAAATATCCAGCATTATGGAGTTCTCGGCAGAGGAGGCCTCTGGATTGCAGGGAAATGTGAGCTGTGAGCTCCGAGGTTGCAGTCAGCGGAGAGGAATGGCTCCCTCCTCCCTCCACGGCTCAGCCCTCGTTTTCCCCCTCCCCCTTCCAGGGCCCGAGTCCGGGATGCTGCCGGTCCATCAGCAGCTTCCTTTACCCCACCTCCATACACCACAGCCAACCAATCAGGAAGCCCGGGATTGGGTAACCCAGGAACTGCTGGATTGAGACCAAGCAGCACTGAGGAGGCTCAATTTCTCCCCAGGAACCCAATCCCACCCCTTGGTATCTAAGTGGAGTCTGCATGACAGGGCTGGAGGAGGAGAGCGGATCTCTAGCCAGATCCCTTAGGAGTGAGTCGTTCTGCCTTTCTTCCCTCTTTCTCCTCACCACCCCCCCACTCCCCAGCAAACGATCTCAGGAGAAGAATGGTTGGGAGTGGGGTGGGCCGTATGCAAGGTGTAAAGGTCCCGTATGGAGAGATGTGGGGAAAGGTCTCATGTGAGCCTCAGCTGGCACCTCTGGGACGGGGCTGACACAGGATTTCTAGCCTGTGCCAGATACTGCCCAGATGGTGTAACTTCACCCTCCCTACAGGTCTCCTATAGCTGAGGCTCAGAGATGGTGAGGAATTTGCCCAATGTGTCACTGGAAGTGGCAGAGACCAAGATTCAAAACTACCAGCCCTAACCGCTTCGGCTCAGTGGATATCAGCCTGCAAACTCAAGCGTCTTGAGTTTGACTCCAGTCAAGGGCATGTACCTTGGTTGCGGGCACATCCCCAGTAGGAGGTGTGCGGGAGGCAGCTGATCGATGTTTCTCTCTCAGCGATGTTTCTAACCCTCTATCCCTCTCCCTTCCTCTCTGTAAAAGATCAATAAAGTAAGTAAGTAAATAAAAACTACCAGTCGGCTTGCACACTCCAGAATCCACATTGCTCTCCGCCCCAGACTGGCCCACCTTCTGTCTGAAATGCCCCTGGGCTCAGGTCCCTCCCTCTACAGTGCGGGCACCAGAGGCCTCTCCCCTTCTCCCGCCTGTCTCCCTGCGGTCATTACCACATTCTTGTTCTTTTGTATCCTCCTCCGCGTTCCTCCTGGTGTTAACGCCCAGAGAGGCACGGAGTTCTCAGGCCCCCCTGGGCCTAGAAATGCAAATTCAAGTGGCTTCTTCTGAAGGGAAAGGGGGGAAAATTGATGTTTTATTTGTTTAAGCTGGGTCGTGGGTATTATGTATTGTGTTGCTCTTAATGCCTGTTTGTCTTATTTTCCATTAAATTACCAAACTTTCCTGTGACATCTCTGAAGCCTAGTGTCCAGGGCTCCACCCAAAAAAAAATTCTTTGGAAGAGCCTGTGGGTGAAGCATTAGCATCCTCCCTCCTCACGCTAGGTCTCTCGGGAACTCAGGCCACTTCTAGAATCGGGCTAGAAACTCCTCCTGGGCACACAGTGCCCCTCCCGAGCAGAAGGACTGCCCCTCTCATCGCTCAGGGGAGAGCAGCCTCCTGGGGCGAGGGGCCTGCCTCACTCTAACAAAAGGGGCCAGGCCCACAGGAGACAAGACCTGCCAACTCATTCCCTTCTAGCGGGAACACCAGACAGCCGCTGCTTCAGCCGCTGCTTCCGAGAAGCAGGTGTCAGTATTATCTTTAATTATCCCACCAGCTGCCGCCCGACACTGCCCACACGGTCAGCCCTGCTGACCCGGCCTGTCCTTCCCCTGATTATCTGTCACATTCCCTTTCTTAGGAAGCTCAGTGCAGGCTCAGTTCAAGAAGGCCCTTTTCCTCCCCACCCCGCCATCACCCTGCAGCCAGGGAATGAATGCCTTCCCTCTGAGCCCGAGTGGGAAATGCCCTCTCCACAAAACAGCTGGACGGGAGGCTACTGGTGGATTCCACAAAACAGCTGGACGGGGGGGTCTGGATCCCTTCTCCACCTCTGGCCCCTCCTTAGCCTGACAGAGAGGCCTTCTGGTGGGGCGTTAGACCCAGGGCCCCTGGAGCGAAGACCAGAGCTCAGGAGATACTGAAATGAGACGTGCAAAGGGCTTGGGTACACAGCCCACCCTAGCAAGGTAGCAGGAGACTGTGAGCATCACATCCGGGGTCCTAAGACCTCCAGCCCAGCTGTGACTTCCCCCAAACCACGGCCTTTCTGGGTTTCAGTGAACCCCCTCTTATAAGATGGGCACGGCTAATAAGATGAAATAAAAAGCGTGCGTTGAAGATCACAGGTGTAAGGCATCGTGACGAGGGCGTTGGGTTGTCAGGCCAGCGAACGGACGGCTTTGCACCTGCCTTCTCCCACCGCAGTCCCTCCGTCCCAGGCTCCGTCAGTTCATCCCTCGGGTATGGGCCTGTGAAGGGCAGGCAGAGCTAGAACAGCCCCCAGCTGAGCTCATTCTTTAAGGCACACATTTGTTGAGCCGCTCTGTGCCTGGCCTTGGGCAAACACGGGGAGTTTAAAGATGAATTAAGACCCGTGGTCTGCAAGCTGCGGCTCGAGAGCCACATGCAGCCCCTTGAGTGTGGCTCTTCCACAAAATACCACGGCCTGGGCGAGTCTGTTTTGAAGAAGTTTAAGTTAAAAAAATGTGGCTCTCAAAAGAAATTTCCATCGTTGTACTGTTGGTAGTTGGCTCTGTTGACTAATGAGTTTGCCGACCACTGAGTTAGACCCATCACCACCTGCCCAGTGGGGAGACGGGTACCTAGTGAAGCAAGTCAGACAGGAAGAGAACACGGGAACTCGGAAGTTTGTGGGAGTGTCATTCCAGTGCCAGGCGCAGGCGGGTGTGTAGGTGCCAAGGCCAATTGCCACTCCAGGCTGACTGCTTCCAAACTGGTCTCTTCCCCCCACCCCCACCCCGAAGGACAGGTGGCAGGGCTCCCAGGAGGGTGCCAGGCCAATGCCCCCAAACAGATGGTCACACGCAGACAGCCGCCGCCAGAGCCAGAGAGGAAGCGAAGTCCGCAGGTAAAAATTATAGTTTTATTCGAGTCACCAGAGGGATTCACTTGTGGTCCAAGTCAAACGTTCAGAATCATAACAGGCCAGAAGGATTTGATCCCAAGCACAAGCCCACGAGGGAGGGGACCAGACAAACCAGGGAGAGACGACCACCCCATATAAAAAGATGAATGACGGCTTCACACACACACACATGGATGAAATGTTCGGACAGAGGCAAGTCTCACACGGTCATTTCTGTTTCTTTTTAAATACAGGTTTGTGAGGCGGTTGTTTTTTTTTCCAGCTATTAAAAAAAAAAAAAAAAAAAAGCCCCAAAGTGCATACGTGAAGGGGGGAAATGCAGAAATTAAGCAATAGTTTTCCCTGGAGGGACACGAGGAAGAAAACAGGAAGCGGTGTTGAGAGAACTCACTTTTCTCACCGTTGGGCTTCTCGCATTTATTATTGGTCCACTAACGCCATATTCACATCCTAGCTCTGACTTTTCCTGGGACACTGGCTAAAAGACCTCTATGAACTGTTAAGAGGAGGCCGGGGCCTCAGCCCAGCCCTCGAGTTCTGTGCTCTTCTGGGGATGGATGGTTCTGGAAAGGAACAAGGACTCCCAGCAGCCCCTGGGTCCCTCAGCACCAGTGCGGCAGCCCCTCCTCTCTGCGGGTTGTATAAAAAAAGGTCCCCTATTTTTAGGATGGGAGGAGCGGCGGGCCAGGCAGCAGGATTCCAGTGGCCGGCTCCCCTCGTTTTGGAAGGGAAGTTAAACTGCGTGAAAAGGCTGTTTCTCGCTCCTCCAGGCCCCCCTTGGGTCCTCCACTCGACGTGTCTCTGACCTTTGGTCCCAGAATCCATGTTGTGCTTTGAGATCAAGAGGAAATGGAATGGACCGGCCTCTCCCCAGGTTTCCAACATTGCTCCCTCACCCCCAGATCGCCCCGTAGGAAACCCTCCATCCACCCTCCCCCAGAAAGATCACACCTGTTCCCCCACAGTCATTTCCTGAGCTCCCTCATCCGGGCCCAATAGTCCCAGCTTAACTCACACGCAGAGGACTCGATCATGCCTGCAGCCACCACGCAGGGGACAAGGACGCAAAGATGTTACCGATGGGGCCTGGTGGACGCGGGGGAGAAAGCCCAGAGATGAGTAACGCCAGGCAGGGCTGTGACAGCCGCCAGCGAGGGACAGAAGGGACTGGAGATAGCACCATCTTTCCCTTCCTCGCCCGGGGCCTGTGCTTCCAGTTTTGTAGCCCTGGGACCCTCTCCTAACACCTCTGGGGGGGGGCTTTAGGGAAGTAGGGGAGAGGCTGGGGGGCAGAGCCCCCAGAGTAAGGCACCCACCGTGTGGGTAGCACAGGGGCCTCTGGCCCCTGGTCTGCAGCGCAGGACAGAGATGGGGGAGAGAATATGCCTGGAGGCATGAAGCCTTCTCCCTCCCCCCTCCCAGGAGGCGGTGCCAGCGCCCACCCATCTTCAGTCACTCCCTCCCTTCCGCCCAGCACACCGCAACGGAGGCAGGCGGGCGGGCGGGCGGGCTTCCTCCATTCCGGGACAGAAGAGGCATTTTCATTCCAAAGGAAGCATGAGGAACTTCTGTCCCCTAGGGCCGCCCCTGTCCCCTCACTGTGGGCTCTGAGGAAAATAGGAGGGGGAAACAGTCCTGTGCGGCCTCACACAAGCCAGAGACCCCTGCAGGCCACCCCCTGCCCCTTCGCTCACGCTCACGCTCACACTCGCTGACACTCCGCAGACACACACACTCCTTCCCCCACACGCCACGTCCTGGAGACACAGCGGGTCCTGGGGCCTCGCGCGGTTCCCGTGCACGTGGGGGCGGGTGGGGAGGGGGCTCCCTTCCAGGAGGGGCAGGGAGGAGTGGCCCACCCAGCCCGGATCTCGGGTGCTTCCTCATCCCACCTGTCAGGACCTCAGCTTCCAGCCAAGGAGGCGAGCCAAGGGTCCTGGGGGTTGGGGAGTGGGGGGTCGGGGGAAGTGCAGAGAAAAGGGGGCTCGGAGAGAGCAGCCCGTCCCCTTCTTCCTGCAGCGGTCCCCAAAAGTAAGGAAGGCCAGGACGTGACCCCAGCCGTGCCTCCCCGGGAGCTCCTGGCCCACACCGGGTCTCCGTGGGCGGGAGAGCGAAATCACAGTGTGAGGAGAACACGTGTGGGGGGTGCCTGGACCCACTGCGGGAACGTCCCCCTCCTCTGAGGAAGGAGAGGGAGGGGAGGGGACCCCCAGAGGGCCAGCAGCCCCACCTCTGAGAAGCAGAGCCCTCTCTCTTCCCGGCCATGGAGCCCCTCCCCGGAGTCCTGGGGGCCGGGGCTCACCCCAGCCCTGGAATGTTCGGGTGTGTGAGGAGGGGGCTGGAGGGCCTGAGGGGGCCGAGAAAGAGCAGGCAGAGGCCTGGGAGCCGAGGGGCCCCCCTTTCCAGCCCAGCCCAGGGGCCGGGCCCGTAGAACGTCCGCTCCTGCTCCACCAGAGGGAAGAGCGAGAGGTCGGTCTAGGGGAAAACCTGCCGAGGGAGGAGCCCGGGGAGGGGCAGGACAAGGCTTCAGGTGGCAAAAGAAGCAGGAGGAGGTTGGGAAGGAACGAGCTGTCGCAGATCTAAAGACACAGAGACACTGAGGGCGATGCGGATGCGATGCGGCGGAATGCGCGGAAGGACGGGGCGGGCAGCGGGCTCAGATGGCCTCCACGTAGTTGGCCGGCAGCATCCCCGTGTCGCCCGTGCGCTCCACGGTCCCGTACATCCAGCCGTCGTCGATCTGCTGCACGTTGACGATGGTGTCACCGTCCTGGAAGGAGACCTCGTCCTCGTCCGCGGCGCTGTAGTCGTAGACGGCGCGGTACCGCTTCTGCGGGGACAGGGGCACAGTCAGCCCGGGGGCGCGCAGTCAGCCCGGGGGCGCGCAGTCAGCCCGGGGGCGCGCAGTCAGCCCGGGGGCGCGCAGTCAGCCCGGGGGCGCGCCGTCAGCCCGGGGGCGCGCCGTCAGCCCGGGGGCGCGCCGTCAGCCCGGGGGCGCGCCGTCAGCCCGGGGCGCGCCGTCAGCCCGGGGCGCGCCGTCAGCCCGGGGCGCGCAGTCAGCCCGGGGCGCACAGTCAGCCCGGGGCACAGTCAGCCCGGGGGGCACAGTCAGCCCGGGGAGCACAGTCAGCCCGGGGGGGGGGGCACAGTCAGCCCGGGGAGCACAGTCAGCCCGGGGAGCACAGTCAGCCCGGGGGGGCACAGTCAGCCCGGGGCGCGCAGTCAGCCCGGGGCGCACAGTCAGCCCGGACCCGGCCTCCCTCCCTGCCGGCCTGGGACCCCGGCGTGGAGCCTGGGTGAGCAGGGACCCGGGAGCCAGAGACGGGAAGGCCTGGGCTCTGCCTTGCATTTTCTCACTGTCACCTCTGAGAGTGTCCAGTCTATTTGGCATCTACTAAAAGGCAGGCACGCCCTGGCTGGTGTAACTCGGTTAGAGCGGTGCCCCAAGCCCCGGAAGGTCACAGGTTCGATTCCTGGTCAGGGCACAGACCTAGGTTGCAGGAGGCGGCCAACTGATGGTTCTCTCTCACAACGTGCTTCTCTCTCCCTCTCCCTTCCTCTCTCTAAAATCAATAACAACATAGCTTCAGATGAGAATTAAAAAGAGTCACAATCCTATCTAATAAAGAGGGGATATGCTAATGGACCATCATCCATCACAAAGATGGCTGCACCCACAGCTGAGGCCAAGTCTCCTTAAGCAGCCTTAGCGGGCAATCAGCAGGGACCTGAGGCTACACCTCTGCCCAGCTGGCTTGACAAGGGTGGGACTGGCCGGACCGGGAGCTAGCCCAGTCGGGGGCTAAGAGGGACCGTGTCTGGATCTCACGTGATTTCGAGGCACATGTCAGTGGATGGGGACTTGACTCTGGGTCCCCCTTTTAATGTCTGGGAGGACCCCTCCGAGGAAGGAGCAGCCTGAGACATGAAGAGCAGGGGGTCCCCCCTGGAGAGCAGGGACCAGGCACCAGGTCTGGGTGGCCCCGAGCACAAAGCTGCCTCCTGAGCTCCCAGGCGGCCGGAGTAAGAGAACCTGGGCGACGGGTCTGGCTGGGCCCCTAGCCCAGCCCAGGGTTCTGCCCGGATCCCACACTCACCCTCTGCCCCAGAGGCCGAGATCCCTACCGCCTGCAGGTGATGTAGAAACTGGGGTCAGAGGCCAGGAGCAGCCAGGCCTGCCGGGCAGGGTCTCTAAGAAGAATCTGTGACCTCGGTTCTTCCCTAAGCCCGCCCATCTCTCCAGGCCCACCCACGCCGGCTGCCCCAGGCCTCACCACCGCCCACCGCCCACCTCCCACCGCCCACCTGGGCCCCGAGACTCACCCCGCCCCCGCCTGGGGCGCTGCGCTGTGTGGACACCGGGGCTGCAGGCTCCTTGTAGCCGCCGTAGGACGGGGCCACCTGCTGCTGCGGGGGCTGCTGGTAAACTGGGAGAGGGAGGAGGCGGGGCTCAGAGCCTGTCCTGACAAACCCGGCCCTCCCAGGGCCTCCCTCCTCCCTCCCAGAAGCCCACAGTCCCGCTCAAGGCCCACTTCTCAGAGGCGATGTCCGAGTGCCCACCCGTATCCAGTATTCTACAGCAAGGGGGCACCTCCGCCTCCTCTCCCCGGGCCCAGCAGAGGCCCTGTGCCCAGCTCATGCCCTCTGTGGGCATGAGACCTGACGTGTGTGTGTGTGTGTGTGTGTGTGTGCGCGCGCGTGTGTGACTGAGGCTTCTCCCACCCGGCAGCCGGCCCGGCCTCAGGCTCCGTGCTCACCGGGGGCGCCGGTCGGGATGTGGTGAGGCTGCTGCTCCTGGGGTCTCCGGTGGCCGGAGTCCTGGGAGTCTCGGCGCTCGGGCTCCAGGCCCTCACCCCCACTGGGGCCCATGCGGCTCTTCTCGAACTCCTCGTGGTACTTTATCTGCAAGGGCAGAAAGCTCCGGGTAAAGGACCACAGACGCCAACCTGAGCTCCCTCCCATGGCCACCAAGGTCCCGGGCTGAGACGCGAGGGCTCCCGGCGGAGAGAGCCAGGCTCTCTCGAGGGTGCACGGCTGTGCCCTGGGATGTGCTACAGGGCCTTGCCGGGCCTGTTTCCAAAGGGACAGCGGCGTCTCCCCGGGTGAGCGGGAGGTGCCACGAGATGACGACGGCAAGGGCCACGCACACGAAAGCACCAGACAAACGTGAACGGTGCCTGCGGCGGGGGCTGGCGCCCCCTGCTGGCCCAGAGCAGCAAGAGCAGCGACTCTGTTTCCTGAGGACCTACTCGGTGCCAGGCACTGGGCTGCGGGCTCCATGTCACAGCTCGTCTGACCTGTCAGCACCTCCGAGGGGGCACAGCACAGCCCCCCTTTAACAGACAAGGAAACAGAGGCGCTGTCCAGCAAAGAGCTGTCCAAGAGCACACAGGCCCCAGAGCCTGTGTCCTCCGTCAGCGGTGGCTCTGCCTCTGACAGGCCTGAGCAGTGGAGGCCGGCGCTCTGCTGAGGACCCCAGCCGGGGGGGAGACAAGAGCGGGCTGAACAGAACCCGCCGAGATCCGCGCCCTCCCGCGGTGCCGCTGGCCAGAGCGCAGGCTCCAGGTCTCCCACAGAACCTGCTAAACCAGGGCTGGGGTTCTGGGCTAGGCCTTAAAAAAAACAACCCAAAAAACAATTTTTATTGATCTCAGAGAGGAAGGTAAAGGGAGACAGAAACATCAATGATGATAGGGAATCATTGATCAGCTGCCTCCTGCACGCCCCCTCCTGGGAGATCCAGCCCGCCACGGGAGCATATGCCCTTGACCAGAATCGAACCCAGGACCCCTCAGTCCACAGGCCGATGCTCTATGCACTGAGCCAAAGTGTCTAGGGCTGGACTGTGCATTTTTAAAAGCTCCCAGGTGAGCCTGAAGCAGGCTTAGTGCAAGGTCCATGAGCGAAGAATCATTTACTTCATTTCTTTTTTAATGTTGGGGGATGCATGAACTTCCTATGGCATGCAAATCTCAGTGCCCAGGAATAAAGTTTTATTGACAGCCACGCCCACTCGTTTCCCTGTTATCCGTGGCGGCTTTCGCGCTGTCGCTGCAGAGCAGAGCAGCTGGGCAGAAGCAAATGGCCTACAGAGCCGCGTCTTTGCCCTCTGGCCCTGGATGGGAGAAGCCTGCTGACCCCGCTTGCCCAAATCCTTGGGCTGAAACATGTAAAAGGTTTTAGCACATTCCTCCCAAATTACATCTTTTATAAATTAAATACAAGTAGCCAGGACCCGTTTGGCTCAGTGGATAGAGCGTCGGCCTGCGGACTGAAAGGTCCCGGGTTCGATTCTGGGCAAGGGCATGTACCTTGGTTGCGGGCACATCCCCAGTAGGGGTTGTACAAGAGGCAGCTGATCGATGATTCTCTCTCATCTGTGTTTCTAACTCTCTATATCTCTCTCTTCCTCTGTGAAAAATCAATAAAATATATTTTTAAAAAATTAAATACAAGTATCCGTTTACAGATATGTAAAGTAGAATATAAAACGTACACAGAAAAATAAGAATAAAACCAGGTGTGAGATGAGAAAGAGCAAGAGGGTTTTCTCCCTGGGCTCTCGGGCACGCTGCCCACACCCACGGGCAGCCCCCGGGTGTGAGCTTGTCGGAGAGGAAACGTGTGGGGAGGACAGCGACTAGGAGGGTGCTAAGGCCCACGGTCTGAGTGCTGGGCTGGCCTGGGTGTGGGGGAGGAAGTGGGACAGAGAGACACAGACCAGCCCCCCTTACCCCCAAGGACGCTCAGAAAGCAGGGCGCTGAGAAAAGCTGGTCCCATCCCAGACAGGCCCAGGCCCTGCATTCTCTCCGGGCCTCAGACCATTTGCCCAGAAGCTGGTTCTCACTTCCTGTCCACCCGGATCCTGCCCTGTGATCCTCCCAGTGGATCCTGCCGGATCCTGCCCTGTGATTCCCTCTCAGTGATTTGAGCCTCAACCGAATAACCAGGAGATCGTGGGTTCGATTCCGTCAGGGCACATCCCTGGGTTGGGGGCTTGACCACCAGTGAGGGGCTTGCAGGAGGCAGCCGATCAAAGATTCTCTCTCATCATTAATGTTTCTCTCTCTCCCTTGCCCTTCCTCTCTGAAATCAATTAAAAAATTTTTTTTTTAAAAGACAAGGAAATGGGGTGCCAGAGGAATGGGCAAGGAGGGGGGCAAAGCCTGCCCTGTGATCCTGTGCCCTTGACCCCCTGGCCAAGGCCTGACGAGCTGTCCAGCTCCCCGAGTCCCCTCGGGCACCCACTCCCACAGGGCAGGAGTTAGCCCGAGGCTGGGCGGGGCTAATGCATTAGTGACTGGGCTAATCATTTTACAAACACGGAAAGTATGGGCTAAAGGTTCTAGGGTGTGGCCCATTGGGCACACCTATATCCTCCTGCTGGCTCCAATGATGGTTTCTCGCTGCAGCCTGGGCTACAAGGACCAGCTGGCACCATCAAAGCTCAGGATGGGTCCAGTCTGAAGGCAGAGAGAGCCTCTCTTAGGGGTTTGGGTCAGAGCCAACCCCCTCCTCTTCCTGCCCCAGCAAGGACCCCCACCCAAATGGTAAAATAGGCCGAGTGGCCCTAACCGGTTTGGCTCAGTGCATAGAGTGTTGGCATGTGGACTCAAGGATGCCAGGTTCGATTCTGGTCAAGGGCATGTACCTTGGTTGCGGGCACATCCTTGGTAGGGGGTGTGCAAGAGGCAGCTGATCGATGGCTCTCTCATTGTTGTTTCTTACTCTATCTCTCTCACTTCCTCTCTGTAAAAAAATCAATAAAACATATATATTTTTTTAAATAAAAATAAAAAGCCCAAACCGGTTTGGCTCAGTGGTAGAGCGTCGGTCTGCGGACTGAAAGGTCCCAGGTTCGATTCCGGTCAGGGGCATGTACGTTGGTTGCGGGCACATCCCCGCCTGGGGGTGTGCAAGAGGCAGCTGGTCGGTCTTTCTCTCTCATCGACGTTTCTAGCTCTCTATCTCTCTCCCTTCCTCTCTGTAAAAAATCAATAAAATATATATATTTTTAAAAATAAAAATAAATAAAAATAAAAATTAAAAAAAAGAATAGGCCGAGTCTGAGGGGGAGGAGAGGAGAGCACCAGGCAGGCGAACTCGGGAGAGGCGGCACGGAGGAGGGGCGGGTGAGAAGAGCGAGGCCGCTGCCCTGTGCCTGGCCCCCTGGGTAACAGTCAGGCCAGTGCTCCCAGCCTCCTCTCCCCTCCCCAGCAAAGGAGGAGACGGAGCGCGCCATTTTGCTGACCGACCTAATGGTATGAGAACCAAATAGGCAGACGAAAGGTGCTTGCACATCCGAAAGGGAGACATTTTCCAGACACCCAGGGCCTGGCCGATGCTGCTCCAAGCTCAGCAAATGTGATCTTCTCAGAGCCCCAAATGGAAACCCCTTGAGTCCAGGAACACCAGCAGAGCCCCAGTTTAAGAGCCGCCCAGGGCCCCGTGGAAAGACTCCAGGCTCTGACTGTGCCCACGGCATCCAAAGGAACGTGGGTGGAGGGCCCGGGCCCACTGACCAGGCCCGTGAGCCAGGCCGGCAGGATGACTGATGGAGGGTCCGTCCCAAAACTCAAGAAAAGACACTTTCTCTGCTGGGTGATGTTTGGGGTTTCCCCGAGCCCCCTGCTCTCCCGATTGCGGGGAAACCGAAGGTCTGACTCCACACGTTGCCCTCACATGACTCTGCGTCGCGGCAGCCAGGGAGCATCGGGCTCGGAACGGAACAATCCACTCACCAGTCAGGGCCTATTTTTGCAGCACCTCCCGTTGGTTGAGGGCCTAGTTTGTGTCCTTAGATGCTTTATTCGCCCTCTTTTCTCAGCCAGTCCAAGAAAAAATGTGTTTTATCATCCCCACTTTACAGCCGAGGAAGCCAAGGCTCAAGAGATGGTTCAACGGTGGGTGAGTCAGAATCCGGCCCTAACATCAGATCCTCAATTCCCCGCCAATGCCGCTCCCTGGCGGAGGCTCACGATGTGTTGGGGTGTTTGGGAGACAACCATTCGATGTGTCTCTTTCACTCAACATGTTTCCCCCCCTCTCTCTCTCCCTCTCCAAAAATCAATGGGGGGAAAAAATAAATCCTCCAGGAAGGACTTTCTTAAACGCTGGTCCCTGGGTCCCACCCCTAGAGGCTGATTCAGGCAGACTGAGGAGGAGGGCTGTGAGCTGCATTTTCAATAAACCTTCCCAGGTGATTCTAGAACGGTTGGTTGGTGGGAGGCCACGTTTGACAGACTCTAATTTAGGGGTGTCGAACTCAATCAGAGAAGGGGCCAAAATCTAAAATCCAGCCTAAATCGCGGGCCGAATGGTTTACTGAACAGTCATAAACTGTCATTGTGATGGAAACGCAGCGGAGTGCAGTGGTGACAGCGCGGTGCGGGCCACATTGCAAGGCCTGGCGGGACGGATTTGGCCCCGGGCCTTGTGTTTGACACATGTGGTCTAATTGCATTCACCAACACCAAGCCTTCCAGCTCTGTGGCCACAGCTCACACGCGGCTGCTAACGCTGCAAAGGCAGAACCAGGTCAGGCTCACTTCACCTCCCCTCAGAGCAGGGGACAATCAGCTAATTGCAGCCCGTGGTTAATGATAAGATCACTATCTGCTTAGGTGTGGATGTCCTGGCCGCAGTGAGTTCTATTACCAGGACTCCGGGGGCAGTAACACCTCCGGTAACTGGTGAGTGGGGGAGGGAAGAAGAGCGGCTACCATAGTCTGGATGTGGAATATTCTGGAAGCCTTCCAGAAAGGGAGGCAGAAATGACTGGGCTTGCTTGTCATCACCCACCCCACCACCACACACACACACACACACACACACACACACCTGGCTCAAACCCACAGGCTAAAAGCAATGAGTGAAGGAGGTATTCGGAGATTAGGGTTATAGGCAGGAGACTAGAGTCTTCACAATGAAAAGCCAGAGTCAAGATTCCAGCCCCAGCTGGTCCCAAGGGCACATGCCTGGGTTGTGGGCTTGATCCCCAGTAGGGGACACACAGGAGGCAGCCAACCAGATTCTCTCTCATCACCAAAGTTTCTAACTCTTTCCCTCTCCCTTCTTCTCTGAAATCCATAAAGATACATTAAAAAGGAAAAAAAAAAAGTTAAGATTTCAGCTTTGCCCGGCGGCATGGCTCAGTCATTGAGCGTCAACCTATGAACCAGGAGTTCAGGGTTCGATTCCCATTCAGGGCACAAGCCCGGTCGCGGGCTCCATCCCCAAACGATGGGCGTGCAGGAGGCAGCCAATCAATCAATGAGCCTCTCTCCTTCTAACTTCCTCTCAAAAATCAATAAAAATATATGTTAAAAGAAAAGAACATATAAGATAAAATTTATCATTAAAAAAAAAAAATCCCAGCTTTGTGAGCCATCCCTGCTCTTCTCTTCCCCGTTATTTCCCCCCTCACACCTCCCTCCAGCTCTCCCCTGGTGCGCTCTTTCCCTCTTCTTTACCTCTGGCCCGGCCCTAACGAGGAAGAAGCACCTGAGACAGCTTTTCTGGGGGCAGACATGGGCTCCGGGCCCCGGGGGGCACGCCTTCCTCCCAAGCCTCCCATTTCCGAGGCAGGTCAGCGACCTAGTGCGCCTAGTGCCGAGCCCATTCAGTGAAGCCTGCCACTGGCATCTTTACAAAATACAACAGAAAATACCGGAGTGCCCTCCCGCAGGGAGGACTCTCTCATGAACGTTTCGATTCTGCTTTCCCTCTAAGTAAACAAGCAGGCCGGTTTGGGGAAGGGGTCGCGCTGTGAGATGTGTTCCAGGCGTAGTTTGCAGTCGGAGTTTGCAAGCCGGGGTCATGGGTACGACTGTTCCTCGAGGCGCGGGCCCGGCTCCTGGAAGCCACCTGAGCCCCTGCCGGAGCCCAGCCGAGCTCTGAGCGCGTCCTGACAGGGATGGAGCCAGGGGCTGGGTGCCGGCTGGGCCGCCTGACACCCAGGTCCTCCCCTGCCTCCACCGCCAGCCCCTCAGCCCAGAGGGACACGGGCAGCCCGCCGACCCCTGCCCGCTCCAGACAGGCAGACAGCCACCTGCCCAGTCCTCCATGTGTAGGATCGCCTGGCCCAGCGGACCGGCACTTCCTGCAGCTCTGTGCCCCAACGCCCCTGCACAGGACGTCCCAACCCCAGTGCCCGAAGCCCCCGAGACGGCCTCCCCGCAGCCCTAAGCCGCACGGGCTGCAGGTCTACGGCTCAGCCACGCGGGAAGCGAAGGCCTGGCCCCTGGCCACAGGCCCCAGGGGCCCGGCCATCCTCCGCCCCCTCTCCACTCCCCGCCCGGCCACAGCACAGACTGCTGACCGTCCTGGGCCCAGGAGGGCCGGGCCGGGCCGGGGTGCAGGGCCAGCAGGCCGCTGGCTGGGGTTTTTACACAGGAAGGAAGAGCAAGCCACGGAGGGGGAGGAAGCGGAGGGCGGGCGGAAATGACTGCAATGTCAGCACCCAAAGGCAGACAGGAGGCCGGCCCCTCCCCGCCCTGCCACCCTGCTCTGAAGTCCTGACCTTTGTGCTCAGACAAAGCAGCCACTCTGGACCCTAACACCCACCGGCCAGGAAAAACCCACAGAGAGGGCGTGACTGAGCTAAACATAGGCCTCCAAGGATAGTCCATGTCTGCTCTGTGGGCAGAGGGAGTCCGGGGGACACAGAGAAAAGGTCTCTGTACCCCAAACCCTCCCCTTCTTCTCCCTCTGGTCCAGCAGCCACCAGCAGGCCCGCCCAAGGGCCCGCCGGGAGCGGACACGGCCGGGGAGGGGCGGCGGGCGGTGTGCCCCGCGGGGCAGGGGCAGGGGCTTACGTTACTGATCTGGTCCTGGGTCTTCTTGATCCGCTGGAGCTCCGGGGTGTCGGCCACCACGCTGAAGCCCTTGCCCTTGTTCTTCTCGAACTCCTCCTTGTAGCGCACCTGCAGGCCAGACGGGAGAGGGGCTCGAGTCAAGTTCGGGGTCGGGGGTGGGGGTGGGGGCAGAAAGGGGCCAGCCTGTGGCCACCTGAGCTGGCAACCAGCTCGGAGGGAGATCCGGACCAGAACCCCCCTGGAGTGACATCCACCCCCACTTCCCAACTCAAAGCAGAGTCTTAACTAAAAAAATGTTAAAATAAGAACGATAATCCGTCAATACATATTCAGTGCATTCTGAGTGCCGAGTGCCTTCCACAAACTGCCTCACTTAAATCTCACCATATACTATTATTAGCTCCATTTTTGTTGTTGTTGTTAATCCTCACCCGAGGATATTTTTTTTCCATTGACTTTTAGAGAGCAAAGGGAGAGAAGGAATGGGAGGGAGGGAAGGAGAGAGAAACACTGATGTGAGAGGCATGTGTTCCAGGTGGTGGTTTGCAGTACCCAGCTACATGTCCTCGACCAGGAATCAAACCACCAATCCATGCTAAAGTGCATGGGCGAGCCAAAACCGGTTTGGCTCAGTGGTAGAGCGTCGGTCTGCAGACTGAAAGGACCCAGGTTTGATTCCGGTCAAGGGCATGTACATTGGTTGTGGGCACATCCCCGGTAGGGGGTGTGCAAGAGGCAGCTGGTCGATGTTTCTCTCTCATTGACGTTTCTAGCTCTGTATCTCTCTCCCTTCCTCTCTGTAAAAAATCAATATATTATATTTATTAAAAAAAAAAAAAAAGTGCATGGGTGATGTTCTAACCACTGAGAACACTGGCCAGGGCCATTAGCTCCGTTTTAAGTAAGGAAGCTGAGCCACAGGGACACACACTCCATGCCCAAAGTCACACAGCTCAGCAGCAGAAGGCCAGAGCCACCCAAATGCAAACAAAGCCTCATCCGCCTGACGCCTGACCGGTGGCCGCCCGCCCATCCTGCCAGAGGGCTATGGAAGAAGGCTCCTCCCGGAGCCCCCGGCCGGCCCCGGCCCCGGCCCTCGCCCTCGCCCTCGCCCTCGCCAGGACATGCCCTGCCGGCCGAGAGCCCGGGGAGTGTCTGAGTGACCCATGAAGTGAGGGCTGTGCCAAGGGGCAGAGTCGGTGCCCGGAAAGGAGGGCAGGGAGACAGCCACCCGGAAGGCTCATCAATGAGCCTTTGAGAGGCTCTGGCGGCTCCCGGGAGCCGGGCCCTGAGGTCAGCGCTGCAGGGGAGGAAGGGGAGGACGGAGTTGTCGGGGGACAGACAGCACCTCACCACAGGGCGCCAGGCTCTGGGGAAGAGCCCCACCACCCACCACTCCCCCCTCTTCTGAGAATCCCACGGACCCCCGAGAGAGGGACTCAGGTCAGACGGCAGAGAGGACTTCCCAGACGCCCACGGCATTAAAATAATAACCAGGCGTCCGTGTCCTCCCCTGGGGGCTCTGAAGAGCAGGACGGAGGCTGGCAATGCCCAGGGCGCCCGCCGAGCACTGCTCCTCGGCGTCCAGCTGCTCCGAACCCCACCAGCTGCCCAGACTTCCTCCCCTGGGGCTGCCCTGTCCTGGAAGGTCAGCCCAGGACACGGGGCCCAGGACCCGGCCGTTTCCAGGGTGACCAGCCCAGGCAGCTCCCAGGCATGGGATCATCCGGCCACCGAGCCGAGCTGCACTAGGACCCAGCCGACCACACACGTTTGCAGCCACGGCCACACCAGTCAGTTCCTCTGCATCCTGCCGCCCCCCATCCCAGGTCAGGCCCCCATCCCAGGTCAGGCGTCCTGGTTTGCCCCCTGGCGACCCAGCTCATCCGTCCACGGGCTTCTTCCCAAAAGATCCCAGAAATCCCTTTGTTTCCATCCAGACCGAAAACAAAGGCAGGGGCAGAGCAATGAGCAATGACAAAGGTACCAGCCCAGCCCACGGGCCCAGAGCTGCCAGCCGCGGCCCACCGGGAAGATCCGGGCCAGCATGGCGCCTCTGAGTGGGGGTGGGGAGGGGAACCCGCTGAGAAGGCGGCAGCAGGGCGGGTAAGGCACTGAGAGCCAGACAATGCAGCTCTGGATACAGAAGCCCCACATGCAAGGCCTCTGGCTTTGGTTTCCCCGCCTGTAAAAGGGTTTTCCTAGGAATCCTGGGGAGTCGGGGGGCGGGGGAGGGGGAGTTCCTACCCCCCAGGCAAAGTGCCAGAGGGAGCCAGAACCAGCACAGGCTCCGTCTCCATCTGCCAAGTGGCCTTGGGCAAGTGTCGTAACCTTCTGGGCCTCGGTTTACAAATCTGTGAAAGGGGACAACAGCACCGCCCGCCGATCTGGGGTGCAGATGGCAGACAGTTGCTCCACAGCCGCCAACGCACGGCGGAGGCGCGGCGGGCCGCCACACGCCGATAAGGGCGGTTGTGAAAGCGCTTTGTCAAAGCCCGTTCCCCACTCCTTCCTCTACTTCCTGGCCAGGCCGGGCAGGGCCAGGTCCAGGCCCCTCATCCGGGGGAGACATTGCCGTGGCGACACTGTGGTGACATCAGAGAGTTCCCAGGCCCGGAGCTGCCTGCCCTCCCTGCGGGGAGGGGTAACTCACTGACTGCTGGCACCGGGGCAGAGAGGGCGTCCACGCCGAGAAAAGGCAGGGCCGGGCTCAGCACCCCTCTGCTACGTGTCCCTGGGCAAGTCAGTCCCTCCCCAGAGGTGAGTTAGTGCTGACACCGGTGTGGCTCAGTGGATAGAGTGTCGGCCTGGGGACTGAAGGGTCCCAGGTTCGATTCCAGTCAAGGGCATGTGCCTCGGTTGCGGGCGCATTCCCGGTGAGGGGAGGGCAGGAGGCAGCTGATCGATGTATCTCTCTCATTGATGTTTCTAGCTCTCTCTCCCTCTCCCTTCCTCTCTGTGAAAAATCAATACAATATATTAAAAAATAAAAAGTCAGGTTTGAGATCGGACACACACCGAAGGGGGGGAGACCTGGTGAGAAAGGTCGGTGCTGGGGGCGGTGAGCAGGTCACTGTCTGTGCCTCGGACGCATCACGCCCGAGTTCCATTCCCTCTCCCCACCAGGACAATAGGGATGCAAACAGCTACCGAGCGCTGACTGCATACCAGAAACTGTTCCAGATGCCTGCTGTAGACCAGCATCCTCACAGCAACCTCTGGAGAGAGACCCCTGACCCCCATTTTACAGATGAGGCACTCAGGCTGGAAGTCTTTACTTGCCCAGGGTCACAGTAGCTACTAGAGGGACCTCCATCCGGGATTTCACCTCTGGCCATCGGCTCAGGACACAGATATGCTATGTGAGGCCACTAGATCCAAAAGAAGGGAGTAGGGACCCTGCTCCAGGGCGGGCCTGGGCGCTCCTGTCCCCCCGGGCCAGTCCCAGGCTGTACTGCACCCTGGAGGTATGACGGTGAGGGGGAAATGAGAGACCTCTTTGCACTTCTGCCTGGGCTCAGGGGGCCACACGGACACCCCCAGCTCAGCCGCACCCCAAAGATGCTGCCTCCCTTCAGCCTGGGGTGGGTGGTGGGAGAGCTGCCAGCTCCTGCCTCCGCCCAGCCTGCCTGGACCACCCAGAGGGCCATTTCCGGCCGGCTCTGTGGCTCCTCCCCCCGAGGGAAGGCTCCAGGTGTCCCAGGCACCCAAAGAGCCATCTGGGGAGCCGATCTGGAGACGGGAAAACAGAGTCGAAATAGCACAGGCAGCTTCCCGGAGCCAGGGGAGGACCGAGACACTCAGATGCCAACCCAGGAAGGGGCCCGGAGAGAGCCCGGCTGATGCCCCGCGGGGTGGGGCAGAGGCTCCCACTTCCCTTCCCGCCAGACGCAGGCGGCCAGCGCAGGCCCTGCCCCCACCGCGGCCACAGGAACCAGGCCTGTCACACCCCCGCCAGGCCAGCTCAGCCCTTCCAGCCTCAGAGCAGCGGGCCCAGCCCCGACATGCAGGCAACTGGGGTTTGCTGTCCCCATTTTACCAGGAAAGAAAAAAACAAAAGAGGGGAGGCAGCAACCAGCTCCCACCGCACAGCTGGGGGAAGGGGAGGGGCCTGCAAAGAGGGCGGGGCCTTTCTCCACCCTCTGCCTCCCCAGCCCCAGCCCCAGCCCCTCAGGAGCCCAACTATAGCTTAGAGCTGTGCCCCCAATGCCCAGGGCTCCCGCCCGCCCGCCCGGCACAGCAGAGAGAGGGTGAGCTCAGGTCCCTCGGCTCCACCTGGTCCCCAGCCCAGCTCTAAGCCTCTCAAACTGTCTGTGAGACCAAAAGCTCTCACCTGAAGCACCAGAGCAGCCAAAACACAGATTCCTGGCCCCATCCAGCCCCTTGGGTGCATCTAACAAGCCCCCAGGCCCTTCTGGCGTGTCCTGCGGGCTGAGAGCACGGGGCTGGGGGCCACAGCAGCTACGGAGCTGCCCTGCGCAAAGGGCTTGAAATCTGAGTCTGGGCAAGTAGCACGGCCTCTCCAGACCTCGGTGTTCCCATCTGTACAATGGGGACGGCAGGAGTCCCTCCACCAGCTGGTGGTGAGGATCAGAGGAGGTCAGGGCCTGGCTCTCTGGCAGGACCCACCGCAGAGTGAGGGCGGTTCTCATGATTGCCCCAGCCTGCCCGAGAGTCAGGAGGCCCGGAGCCCAGATGACTCAGGAGGGCCTCTGGGGAGCACGGGGTTCCCCTTGGGGATTGGATTCCAGGGACAGAAAAAAAAAAGCTCTGTAGCCAAGCTTTCTGTGAGACCAACAAAGGCTGGGGAACGAGTGCGGTGTGAATTCCTCCTCCTGAGAGTGTGGAGGTGTGTGTCTCCCCTGCCTCCGCCTGAGTGTGCACACACACAGACACACACAGACACACACACATACAGACACACACACACACAGACACACTCACACACACAGACAGACACACACACAGACACACTCACACACACACAGACAGACACACACACACACACACACACAGACACAGACACACTCACACACACAGACACACAGACACACACACACAGACACACACATAGACACACTCACACACACACAGACACACACACACAGACACACTCACACACTCACACACTCACACACTCACACACAGACACACACACACACACAGACACACACACACACACACACACCTCCGGCCGGCGCCTCTCCCCGCCCCCGGGCCCCACACGTCTTCCCCCGGGTTCCTCAGGGTTCTGGCTGCCCCCCTCTCTCTCTCTCTCTCTCTCTCTCTCTCTCTCTCTCTCTCTCTCTCTTTCTTTTTAGTATATTTTTACTGATTTCAGACAGGAAGGGAGAGGGAGAGACGGAAACACGAATGCTGAGAGAGGATCCTCGGGACATGGTGCAGAGGCTGGGCTGTGTCCTCTCAGGCCAGCACCAGCCCAGGGAGGTGTGCTCCCCCTTTGTGGGTGGGGGTGAGTGGGGAGGAGGAAGAGGGAGCAGCTGCCTAGAGGAGGGGGGCCTCGGGGACCCCACGTGAAATTCCCCAGAGCAGAAAGAATCACACCGACACCCCAATAACCCACGTTAGGTGAGGGGGGCAGGCTCTCCCCCCTCCTTTGATCAGCCAGGAAATGTGAAGTAACTGGGTGCAGCGCTGGGGGCAGGGAGACAGGCGGGGCCAGCGTCTCAGCTCCTGGGCCTCCTGAGTAACCGGCGGGGAAGGGGCCCTTGCCAAACGCGGGGGTTGTGACAGCCGCCCCCTCCCCCCCCCCCCCCCCCCCGCTCTCCCCCCTCCCCCAGGCCCCGCCCGGCCCCGCCCGGCCCTCACCTGACTCTGGAGCTCGCTCTGTTGCTTGAGGCGGAGGTTCTCAGGGGTGTCGGCCACCATGGTGAAGGACTGCTTGGGGTAGTGTCTGCAGGACAGGAAGGAACAAGCGGAGGTCACTCTGGGGGAAGGGCGGGAGCCTCTGGGCTTCTCACGGCCCCGACTCTCTCCGGGCCCCGGCCTCTGCCCCCGGGCGGGCCCAGTGTCCGCCGGCCGCGCAGAGGGAGGCCGGCCGCTCAGACTCAGCCTGCGCGGACCTGGGAGACACAACGGGCTCGAGCGGCCGGCAGGCCGTGCAGAACGGTTCTGAGCCAAAGGGAGGCCACAGGGGCACCGAGGGTTCCAGATCACCCTTGTTTGGGGATAACCCATGCCTTAGGAGTCTACCAACCAGGGACGTCACGGGCGCTGGGCCAGCACGGGGCGAAGATAAGGATGGGGTCAGGACGAAGCTCTCAGCTAAAGCCAGAAATGGAGGCCAACGAAGGAGAGGAAGGTCAGGAGGGGTACGGAGCCAGAAATGAAGGGGAAAGGGACGTGCATATCCAGGGGGGCTTCCTGGAGGAGGAGGAGGAGGCAGGGAGAGAAAGAGGGTGCACACATCCAGAGTGGCCAACAAGGGCCAACTTAAGGGAGCACAGGTGAGAGGTCAGCCTGATGCCAGAAAGGAGGCCACCCTCGGGTGGCAGGTAACACTGCCACCACGGCCCATGTTCGCCTGTGCTAGAGGCATGCGTGCCTCCGTTCACCCAATTCCCACACGCACCCGCTGTCCCCCTCACGGAGGCTCAGAGAGGTTGGAGAATGTAGCACAAGGCACAAGGCTGGGCTCCCAATGGGCACCCGGACACTCTGCCCTGGACCCAGCAGAGTCAAACCCTCTGCTCTCCAGGCACCAGGCAGACCGGAGGCTCGACCCCCAGAAAGAGGGCAGGCGGAGGGGGCGGGAGCCGGGAAAGCCCTGGCAGCCAGTCTGCAGGGGCCTCTCGGACCACCGGCCCAGCCCCTCCTCTCCCGGGGACACAGGGCACTGAGGTGATGATAATGAACTTCCTTTCACATCTGCTATTGTCTCCTCCCTCCACCACTCCTCTGTGAGGTGAGGGGTGGTTTTTTATCTCTTTTGGTCATTGACGGCCCCAAGCTCCTAGAATAGTACCTGGTCCCCAACAAATACTTGTTGAGTAAACCAACACCACAGCAAGCACTGAAACTGAACTCGGGTCTCCTACATCTCCCAGGGCAAACGCACGAGTCCGCAGAGCCAAATATCAACAGGACAACCATGGAGATTTCTTTTGAGAGAAATTTAAATTGTTTAAACTTAAACTTCTTCTGACGCCACTTCTTCAAAATAGACTCACCCAGCCGAAACTGGTTTGGCTCAGCAGATAGAGCTTCAGCCTGCGGACTGAAGGGTCCCAGGTTTGGTTCCGGTCAAGGGCATGTACCTTGGTTTCGGGCACATCCCTAGTGGGGGGTGAGCAGGAGGCAGCGGATCGATGTTTCTCTCTCATCGATGTTCCTAAGTCTCTATCCCTCTCCCTTCCTCTCTGTAAAAAAAATCAATTGTATACACACACACACACACACACACATATATATATATATATATATATATATATATATATATAAATTTTTTTTTAATAGACTCTCCCAGGCCCTGGTATTTTGAGGAAGAGCCATGCTCAAGGGGCCACTGGGGCCTCACAAAGTCCCAGCGCACCAGCGGAGGGGAGGCAGTCCGGGCCGGGGGGTGTGTGTGAAGCGCTGAAATGTGAAGCCGGTGGGGATCCGCAGGGGCCCCAGCACGTCAGGGAATGCGGTGGCTTCTCCCAGCAGAAGCTGAGATGGGGCCGTTTCAGCCCCGGTGGCACAGCTGTGCCACCCGGCAGGCAGGTCCCGGATCCCCCGCTGTCTGTCCCCGGGAAGAGGATGGCCCCCTGGCAGGCCTGTTCCACCCCCTAGGCTGGCACGCCCTAGAGCTGGGCCTGAGCACCCTCCAGCCCTGTGTCCTCACCAAACTCGCAGCTCTCCAGCCGCCGCCCCTCCCTGAACCAGAGCCACGGCGAACACGGGGCTTCCCTGGAGCTTGGAGGGGGCGGAGGGGAGGGGCACCGTGCCGGGCGCTGGCCCTGCCACCGGCTCGCGGGGGGACTGGCAAGTCCCTGTTTCACCACCGTGGACCTACGTGGTTCTAGCCGTGCCCCAGCCCCAGGCCTCCCTGTCCAGCCCGGCTCCCGCCTCCCGGTCAGCCCGGCCGCAGCTGCCCCGGTGGAGGGAGGAAAGCGAGGAGACGGAGGGTAAACACAGGTGCCTGCAGCTGGCACGGCCTGCGGACGAATGTGGGGCCGCGGCTGTGGGTCCAGTCGCCGGGCTTGGCCCAGTGCCACGAAGCCAGGGCCACCCACAGCCGAGGACGCCATCAAAATTCCTGCGCGGCTCCCGGGGGAGGGAGGGCCCCGGGGACTGTGCCCAGAGGCTCGGCAGAGGACGGCAGGAGGGGCCGTCAGCTCTCCAGCAGAACCGGCCGGCCCAGAGGTCCCGGGGGGGTGTTCAGAGATGACCCTCCCAGCAGGGAAGAGCCACAGCGAAGGCGGGGGGGGGGGGGGGGGGGGCCGGGAGGTCCTAAAGCACATGTGTCAAACACAAGGCCCGGAGGCCAAATCCGTCCCGCCAGGCCTTGCAATGTGGCCCGCACCGCACTGTCATCACTGCACTCCGCTGCGTTTCCATCACAATGACAGTTTATGACTGTTCAGTAAACCATTCGGCCCGCGATTTAGGCTGGATTTTAGATTTTGGCCCCTTCTCTGATTGAGTTCGACACCCCTATCCTAAAGCAATGAGCCAGGGAGACCCCAGGGGGGCGCTGGCCCGCCAAGTAGAGGGTTAACCCCAGACGATGCTGGGCAGCGTTTGGTGGGAAGGGGAGCGAGCAGCCAAAGGCAAACACGTGTGCACGGGGCCGTCTGCAAACCCGGGGTTTCCCGTTTGCCGCGTGTGCACGGTTAGAGCGGAGTGCGGGCTCCAGGGGCCCACGGACAGCTAGACCCATGTACCTGACACGCACCTGACATGCACCCCACCCTCCATAAACGAATGGAGGAGCCTGACCCCGTCTCCTGGACACGGGGGCCAGCAGGTCCACCCGGGACAGGACGCACTGAGGCCACACTCACACCTCCTACCCTGCACTCCCCCAGGGCTCAGGGCACACACACACACACACACACACACACACACACACACCCGCCATGCTGCAAAAACCTGTGGGTGGGGGTGGGGGTGGCGGGTGTTTCATTCCCTCTTTGGAGTCATATGACCCCCAGATGTCAGACCTCCCAAAGCCAGGAGTTAACCCCAGGGGAGGGGAGGGGAAGGGGTATCCAGCCTAGACAGACGTGGTCTCGGCTTCCTGTGGCCGGGGGAGGGGAGGGGAGGGGAGGGGAGGGGAGGGGAGGGGAGGGGAGGGGAGGGGAGGGGAGGAATTGTCCATCCTGCACCAGATGAGCTGGACGTAAGAGGAGTGCAGAGCCTCTGTCTCTTACCCCCGGGGGGGGGGGGGGGGGGGCGGACAGGCGTGCAGTCTGGGCTCTCCTCCCCGCCCTGGGTCAGTCCTGTCCCCTCCCCGCAGCCCCAGCCCTGGCCTGACAGCCCTGCCTTCCCCTTCCCCTGCTCACTGCGCTTCAGGTTCCCATGGCAACCTCATCCTCAGCTCCAGGCAGGAGGGCGGGAGAGCAGACAGAGGGAGCCGGGCGGTGGGGGTGGGGAGGAGACAGGCAGCCAGGGTGTCCTCACTGCGAGGACGGAGGACAAGGCTGGGACAAGGCCGGGAGACAGCGAGGCGAGGAGCACAGGAGCCAGGAATCGGTCCGTCTTCCGAGGGGGGACACAGCCCCAGCAGCGCTGCCCCCTCCCCCGCCAGCATGACTGCCCTGGACGGGGCTCCCTGACCTCCTTCCAGAAGCAGTTGCTGGGAACGTTCCCTTTTCCTCCCTCCCGCCCTCAGGTGGAAGCTCTGCCCTCGCTCCCCGCACCTCCCAGGCGAGATGAATGGATGTGTGTGTGCCTTTGTGGGCACCGAGGCAGAGAGGGGCCCCGCCCCCAGAGAGTGACCCCCCGGAACCCCAGCCCGCACCAGACGGGCAGGGAAACCAGGCAGCTGAGCCTCCAAGAGAACCTCCAGGCACACGAAGCGATTTCTGGATGGACAGGGTCCCGAGCACATGCCCTCTGGAAATCTGCCCCAAGGCCACGGATGGGACACGTCAGTGTGACCCATGTGCCCATTTCACAGGGAGAGAAACGGAGGCTGTGTGTCCAGGAGCACGGCCCAGTGCACTCTCCCCTCCACCTTGGCCACCCAGCCGGCTCAGGGCCAGCGGACAGCTCTCTCAGGGGGACCCCGTCCAGCCCCAGCGCTCGGGCCTCTGGGGAGAGACGTGCGTGGCAGGGCCGGTGGAGGACAAAGGAATTCATCTTTCAATGGGGTCTCTCGATCACCACCCGTCAGAAGCCGCCTTCTCCTTTTCTAAAGAGGGTGTCTTGCCAAAACCGGTTTGGCTCAGTGGATAGAGCGTCGGCCTTCAGACTAAAGGGTCCCAGGTTCGATTCCGATCAGGGCATGTACCTTGGTTGCCGGCACATCCCCAGTAGGGAGTGTGCAAGAGGCAGCGGATCGATGATTCTCTCTCATCAATGTGTCTAACTCTCTATCCCTCTCTCTTCCTCTCTGTAAAAAATCACTAAAATATATAATTAAAAATAAAAAAGAGGGTGTCTCTTCTCCTCCATGGATATAAATAAAGCATTAGACAGGCACAAACAAGGAAGCAAATTTTGCCAAGGTGGCCTCCTGGGGAGATAGATGCTTTTAAACCTATCAAAAAAGAGGGTGTCTCGAGTCCGAACAATGACCGGCAGGCAGGGATGCAGGACCAGGGGCCTGCCCCAGAGAGGGGTTATGCCTGAGGGCCTCTGAGCCACCCGAGGGCAGGGAGGATGCTGAGAGGCGCTGTGCTCCGGCGAGGGGCCTCCTGGGGACAGGGACCGCTCGCAGGGCCCAGCCCCACGCCCAGGCCCACCAGGAGCCGCGTTGCAGAGGCGGAGTGGACGCAGCCCAGCGCCCCCTTCTGCACGCACCCTCGCCTCCTCCAGCCTCAGACTCATTCAAAACCACAGCTTTTTGTTCAAAGAGGAACAAAAATACACCAACAAAAAGCAACAAGGAGCCTTTGGTTTCACCAAAAGGAGGGAGGGGGAGAAACACAGGCCCGACATCCTGCCTCTGGAAGGAGCCCTGAGCCCCAGCTGGGAACCCTGCCCAGGGCGGCAGGGAGGGCTCCCCCTAACCCGGTTTCTCACCCGTCCCCCAGGCCTCGGGGCTGACGTGGTGGGGATAGGAAGCAACAAGGAGGCATTGTCTGACCGGAGGGGGGGAAAAACGAGCAGCCAAGAAGATCAAGGCTAGACGAGAAGAAGAACTTACTGGCCCTCGGGGGCAGGAGACACACGGTAGCATCCTGCCCCGATGACAACAAAGAGAAAGGAGTGATTCTGCCAAGTTGGCCAGGGGTTGGAAACACAGGGCCTTGGCTTCCTTATCCATGAAATGGGAGCATGAGGGACCCTGAGCTTCCTGGCGGCCGTCACGTCTCTGAGCGCAAGGATTTGGGGGTGAGAGTGAGGGGCCGGGCTGCCTGGAGGGTTTGCGGATGCCCCTTTGCGAGTGTCTCCCTGTCCCACGCACACACCGCACAAACCCTCCCCATGCCCGGCGCTGACCTGGCTATCGGACCCCATTTTGCTCGGTCGGGGCAGAAACTTCTGGGGAGATGGGGCAGCCCCGTGCCACAGGCCTGGATCTGCCCGCTACCGCCCCTCCCCTCAGCACAGGCCCGCCCCCCCCTGCGGCCTGGCGGCAGGCCCAGGACCACAGCCCCTCGCTCCCCAGAACCAGACGCATCTGCACCCTGCGCAGCCCCTCCCCCACAGCTCAAGGACACGGAAGGATGGCCAGTCCATGAGGAGGGGAGGATCCAGCAGAGCACCCCTCCTTCCCAGCCCATGTCTACTCCCCCTCTGGACACCCCGAAAGCTGGCTCGTTCCTCTCCGCCTGCAACTTCACCCCCACTTCACACACACACACACACACACACACACACAGTCTGCAGCCTCCATGAGTCATGCCCCCGAGGAGGAAGAACAGCAATTTCTCCCCACCCCCACCCTGCCCCTGTCCCTGCCCCTGCCCCTGCCCCTGCCCTCCAGACTCCTAGACTAGGTGCCTGAAAAGAAAGCAGCAGGTTTGCTGTGGGGACAGGCCTGCCACCTTTCAGAAAATGTAGCTTAGAAAACAAATCATCGAGGGTATAACGATCCCTCTGACCAAAATGGAGCAGACTCACCCCCCCCACCTCGACATGCCAGGAAAGGACTCGGTGAATGGGCCTTCCCACCGCGGGCCCCTGTGCCAAAGCAGGCCTCACAGCACAGCAGCCGGGGCGGCCTGGGGAGCGTGAACACAAACACGTCCTCTCGGGCCGACCTCCCTGGCTCTTCTCCCCAGCCCACGCCCGGCAGCGTGTGTGTCTGGACACACACCAGGCACGTGTGTGAGTGCGTGTCCACGGGGGTGCGCCCCTGCCCGGCAGCCCCGAAGTGAGCTCTGGCCTGTCCGCCCCCCCCACCTCTCTCTAAAGCCTGTCCGCCCCCCCACCTCTCTCTAAAGCCTGTCCGCCCCCCCACCTCTCTCTAAAGCCTGTCCGGCCCCCCACCTCTCTCTAAAGCCTGTCCGCTCCCCCCACCTCTCTCTAAAGCCTGCCCGCCCCCCCCACCTCTCTCTAAAGCCTGTCCGCTCCCCCACACCTCTCTCTAAAGCACAGAGAGGAACAGCAGAGGCCTCTGCTGCCTGCGGTCCCTCTCCAGAACTTAAATTAGTCTTGAGGTGCCTCTGGGAAAAGACAGACAGGCTGCTCCTCTCCTGACCCTCCCCCTGAACGCGGAGGCCTCAAGCTCACTCACTGGGTGGGCCCGGCGCCCTGGCAGAGGGCCAGGAGAGACCCCGCCTCTCGGGCTCTGAGCGGGCGGCGCTGCCCAGGAGGAAGCCAGGCCTGGCCCACGGAGCAAAGGGCAGCGCTCTGCACCCCGGACAGCCCAGGATCCGGAGCCGGGTGCCCCTGGAGCATGGGGCCAGAGGCAGGAAGAAAACAGGAAGGAAGGAGGGTGAGCACCCAGCACGGGGCTGGCACGGAGCAGGCGCTCAGCAGCCTTCGGGGTCTGGTCCCGGGGAAGGTAGGAAGCTGGAGCCCTGGGGAAACCGAGGCTGGGGCAGGTCTCCAGGCAGCTCTGGCAGGCCAGGCCCGCATCTGGCTTGTCCTGGAATTTCCCTGTCTGGATCGCTGGCACAGACCGCTGCTCGGCAGGAGCTGGCTGAGGCGTGTGAATGCCTCGGGCAAGCTGCTACTACACGCCGGAGCGAAACACAGCCGGACCACAGAGCCCCCACGTCTTCTCCTTCCCAGGGGACACCCCGCGGGGCCAAAGGTCAGCGGGGCCGGCTGTAAAGGCTGGGGCAACGGAGAGGGCAAACCCCCGCCCCCCCCTGCCCCTGCTCTGGCTGGAGGCCGAGACAGACCTGCCCAGGCAGCTGGAAGCGGGATCCAAGCCAGGAGGGGCGCTCCGTCTCCCACCTCCCCTGGGCCTCCCCACCCTCCACCGATGCAAGGAGCCCCTCACCCCCTTACTGCGGCCTCCCCAGAAGAGGGAGAGCAGTGAGCTGGGCGGGACTGTGGCACAGAGAAAACAAGGGCACGCCTCTGACTTCTTTCTCCAACTCCCAGCGCTCCCTGAATTCTAGGCTACCGCAGCCCGAGGGCAGAGCAGCCGGGACTGGGGGCTCGGCCAGACGGCTGCCTGGAGAGGCGGCGGTCCGAAGCTGCCCCCCGAGGAGCCTCCGTGCCCAGAAGCCAGCCGGGAGTGGTCCAGCCACGGAGGGGTTAACACTGCCCCAGCCTCCGGCTTTGCTGAACCCCACCCCACTCCCCAACAGAGGGAGGAAGTGGCAGAGAATCAGGGCTTGTGTGAGTCCTTAAGAATTCGAGGAATGTCCCATTTCCCTGGGGGGGACTGGGGTGGAGGCTGGGGGGAGAGGGCCAGATAAGTTAACAGAAGAGGAGGCGCACGGAGGGGAGAGAGGGGGACCCAGGCGACCACCGCCGTGGTGCCCCGGACCTTCCCCTTCCCCGGGGAGCCCCCGAGCCCTCCCAGAAGGGAGGACACACATGTATCCTGAGTGTGAGATTTTATCAGAAATCTGTTTTCCCAGCACCTGCACAGGTTAGCAGGCAGCAGCGGGCGGCCATGCTTACCTAATGAGAGGGGGTACGAGCAGGGCACTGGGGGTGCCAAAAGGGGAGAGAGGCAGCCTTCCAAAGGGGGCTTAAGACCCCAAGGCCACTGAGACAAGTCCCAGGGTCCCCCTCTGGGGTGAACTTCCGCTGCAAAGAGCCTCTGACTGGGAACTTAAAGAAAAACTGGACTCGAGTCAGTTCTGCTGAACCGACCTGACCTTCTAAAACCCTACCTGGCGGGGCGGCTGTGAGGGGCTGCCTGCGCCCCAGACCCCGCCGAGTTTGCACTTGTCACGCACACAAGGTCGCCCCGAAGACCGAGGTGTTGCATTCTCTGCAGCAGCGTGGGGTGAGGGGCCCTACCTACGCCCCCCTCTCCGCAGCAGGCCAGGCTGCAGGGCCCAGTGCAGAGGGAACAGTCCGAGCCCACACCGTCCGAGAAGACGGGGGTCTCTGCCCGGAGCCAGGCCCCCCCTTCCTGCTGCCTCACCAGGGAGGGCTCTGCCAGGATCCCCCAAAGAATCAGTGCCCGGGCTCTGGCAGGGGGCAGACAGAGAGATGGAGACAGTCAGCGGCCATTCTGAGGAGAGCGAGGAGGAAAGGAGACGCAGAGAACACAACCGGGCAGACACCAGGGCCGCTCGCTTTTCCCCCTGGGCCCCACCCTCCGGCCGGTCAGCGGGAGGAACGTACGTATTTCACTGGGCGAACTAGCCTCTCTCTAGACACGTCATCCCTTCCCTTCCCCGGGCCTCAGTCTCCTCCTCTGTGAAATGGGAAGGAGAGCCCTTACTTCATCCGGCCGCGGGGAAGCTGACCTGGGACGGACGCTAACCAGGCAGAGCCGGACGTGCTCGTGGCGAAGGCGAAGTCCCCTCGTGGAGATTAGCACGGAGGGAAGAATGAGGAAGGGATCCACCCGGGACCCGCCCGGCCCCGCCCCTGCCCCGGGCGGCACTCACGCATTGCAGTAGGGCTTCTTCTCGTAGCCCTTGTAGTTCTTCATGTTGAGTGTCATCTTGCAGGTCTCGCAGTGGAAGCATGCTTTGTGCCAGAACTGGGGACAGAGGCAGAGGGCGGACACCCGTCAGACACAGGCCCTGAGGGAGGGGCGCAGGCCCAGGAGGGAGCACTCGGCTCCACCAGGCGAGCTGGGGGCATCGCAGGTCCCAGCTCCCCCTTTTCACCCTCCCCCCCAATCAGTCACTGGCGATGTAAGGATGGGAGGAGGGCAGACGTGGAGGGTGAGTGGGGAAAGGGCCGTGACAGTGGTGCTAAGCTGTCCCCAGAGGTCAGCTCCACCTCCCTACCGTGCCTGCTGCCCCCAAGCTGGAGTAGCCCCATTGCTCCTGCAAAGCTGGACCAGGGTTGCTAAGAGACGGCTGCTGAACAGGAGGGGCAGCTCCTCAGCACTGACGAGGCCTGGAGAAGAGGAGGAGGGGGGCCTGGCCCTGAACCTCCCACTTCCTGTGGGACCCCCAACCAGAGGGTAGGAGTGGGTGCCCAAGCTCTATCCACACTCCTGCACCCTCTCTCCCGCCCTCACCCTCTCTCCCGCCCTCACCCGGGAGAGCACTCAGCATCTCTCTCTCAGGCCCTGCAGGGCTCTGCTTAAAAGCCTTGGAAGGGGATCCCCCACAGTGGACACCGGAGCGCCCCCCTGACTGGCTGTGTGACCTTGTCAGGGACCACATCGCTTCCTCCGGGGATGGTCTGGGATTCGATGAGAAATCACCTGCACAGCCCGCGGCCGGCACCTGGCACCTCTGAGCACCAGAGTGTTAGATGCTGGGCACAGCAGCTCTGAACCTCAACCAGGGGCTCCCAGGGGAGCTGCCCGGGAGCTTCTGTGTGTGGGCACAGGTGGGGCGTCGCTGTGCCCGGCCACGGCCACAACGCGGGGGACAGTGCATGACAGGTGAGACTCCAGCAACGCCGAGAGGCCCAGACCATGACCCACTTTCACACGCAGGCCGATCCGGGAAGGCCAGTGGAGGGGAGAGGAGGCAACAGGAGGGACCTCCTCAGCAATGGTGACACTGGCCAAACCATGCACCTTGGGTTTGCATGGCCCTGGGATCTGCACTGACCGGGAGCCCAGCTTCCAGGACCCCGGAGCCCAGGCTGCCTGGGTGACCCAGCCTGGTTCTGCCCCATTTCCCAGAAGTCACAGGAGACACTCCCAAGCCCTCAGGGAAGGCCAGAGGCCAGGGGAGGGCGGGGGGAGCTGTGTGAAGGTGACCGGCACAGGGCCGTCAGCCAAGGAATTTCCCCCAAGGCACTGCCTTTCAAAAGGTGTGTTCCTGCCGCTCAGTTCCCCTGGGACACCTTGGAGGAGGGGACAGGAAGAAGCTGGGAGGTTGGGATTCCAGGGCCCCTTCCATGGCCCTCGTCCACCATAGGGTGCTTCCCCGTCCGGGGACAGAAGGAATCCCCGGTGGCACAACAGCACATGGAGTGACAGGAGAGCCACTGTGTGGGGAAGGCCAGCCGGAGGTCTGGGAGCAGAGGGGAGGGGTGGCTGATCCAAGCTCAGCCCCCACCCCCGCCGAGGCCCAGCCCACAGCCCAGCCCCCACTCCAGGTGCAACGCCCCAACACACACAGCCCCCCAGAAAAACTAAGAGAAGGTAGTCCTTGCCCTGGCTGGTTTGGCTCAGTGGAAAGAGCGTCAGCCTGTGGACTGAAGGGTCCCAGGTTCGATTCCTGGTCAAGGGCACATGCTTGGATTGTGGGCTCGATCCCCAGTAGGGGGCATGCAGGAGGCAGCCAATTGCTGATTCCCTCTCATCACTGATGTTTCTATCCCTCTCTCCCTTCCTATCTGAAATCAATAAAAATGTATGTTTTAAAAAAGTAAATAAATAAAAAATGAAAGAGGGTAGTCCCTGCCCAGTCAGTGCCCACAGTGGCAGCCCCTCTCCCTCCCCCCATACCTGGGAGGCACTGGCAGGGCGCCCGGGTCTGTCACCACCCAGCCTGCTGGCCTCCGCCTGCTCAGCTGCCCAGGCCCCTACCTCCCCCTACCGCCTCAGGGGCCTGTCAGGAAAAATATTCTCTGGAATCCAGACCATGACCCACTTTCACACATACACACACACACACACACACACACACACACACCTATAGGAATACACACTGTCCTAGACCTGGGGACCTCCAAAGCAGCCTCCTGATGGATTTGGGGGAGAGAAAGGGAAGGAGACAGAAACCCCTTTTCCCGCCCCAGCAGATGGCTAGGATCTCACCCAGGGGTCAAGCCCCTTGGAAAGGGGCAGGGTATACTGACTGGGCTGAGGGTTCCTTCCACAAGACCCCTCCCGGCTGCCATTTGAAGGGGGGACCCCCGATATGAAGGGATGGTACCCATTTCCATCCGTAGCTCTTCCCCACCTCACCCCCAGACACCCCTTGCTTCCAGCTAGATAGGTACACTAGGGTCTGTTCCCTAACGGGGGCTCGAGAGCAGAATAATAAAAGCACAGGTGGTCCGAGTGGCTCCAGGGGCATGGTAAAGTCTGCAGCTGTAAAGTGGAACTAAAACCAGGGTCCCACAGCGGTGTGGGGAGGAGTGAGGAGATGACTCACGCCCCGAGCTAGAGCTAGCTGCACTCCGAGCCACCGCTCAGGTCACTTCCCTCCTGGGGGAAGGGCTCCCAGGCTCCGAACAACCAGCAGCGCCTGCCCCCGTGTCCTCCTCACAGGGGGCACGTGGAGGGCAGGGAGGACGGACTATGGCCAGTCACTCAGCAGCCCCGGGGCCCAGCCTGGACCGGGACACCCCCTCCCTGTCTGTCAGGTCGGGTGACCAGCTCAGTCAGGGACATAAGTCAATTAAACCCCCACAGCCCTGGCCGGTTTGGCTCAGGGGATAGAGTGTCGGCCTGTGGACTAAAGGGTCCCAGGTTCGATTCTGGCCAAGGCACTTGCCCGGGTTGTGGGCTCGATTCCCCCCCTCGCCCCCCGTGGGGAATGTACCGGAGGCAAACAATTGATCAATTGATGATTCTCTCTCATCATTGATGTTTCTGTCTCTCCGTCTCTCTATTTCCCTTCCTTTTTGAAATCAATAAAAAATACAAAAATTAAGAAAATAATAAAACCCCACAAGGACCCTCTCGGTCTGCCTTTCTCCTGTCCCCCTTTCTTAAAGGCCCCAGGAAGGAGATGTCAGTGACTCTGGGATTCAGGATCTGGAGCAAAGTACAACCTCTGGGCAGGCAACCCTAATCCTCCCCACTGCCCTCAAGTCCCTGTTTCCCTTTCACACAAAAATCAGGCCTGTTCGAAGCTCCCCAGCCCTTCCCCCAAGGCTCAGCCTGCCCGCCAGCCTTCCGGGCCCGCAGCTCCAAAGCTGAAGCCCCGGGCACAGAAACCCACTCCGCAGAGAGACACGGAGGCCGTGAGCAGAAGGAAGCCGCCCGCTCTTGGGCGAGGCTGGGACAGCGCCTGTCTCCCTGTAATCGGGGTGGAGGTGGGGCAGGCGCGCTCCCGGCTCCCGGCTCCCGGCTCTCGGCTCGGGCACGCGGCCAGCTTCAGGTCACTGCCTGCAGCCTGGCATCTTGCCCTCTGCACCCAGGCTACCTGACTCAGGGTTCAAAGATAAGTAAGACCTTCCTCTCCTTTCCTGTGCCCCAGTGGCTTTTCCCTTTTCTAGGGGTAACTCCAGCTCCACCCTGGCTGGGTCACCAACCTGGTTCAGTTGGTCACCTGGGCACGGGTTTAAAGTCATCTCCACAAATTCCCAGGGGAGATGATTATTCCTAGTATCCCAGCTCCTGGAAAGGCCCAGGCCCAGAACATTCCTCAGGCCAGGGTCTGGACACTAATGAGATAGTGTAAATAAAAGTACTTAAAGATATATATATATTTGTTAAATAAATATATATTTTTTTACTTCAGAGAGGAAGGGAGAGGGGGAGAGAGAGAGAAACATCGATGATGAGAGAGAATCATTGATTGACTGCCTCCTGCATGCCCCACACTGGGTGTTGAGCCCACAGCCCGGGTATATGCCCTGCCGGGCAATCAAACCATGACCTCCTGGTTCGTAGGTCGACACTCACCCACTGAGCTACGCTAGCTGGGCATTAAAGTACTGTTTTGCCAACGTAACAGGCAAAAGAGCGGAGCACAAAGAACTTCAATGAGCCACACACAGTCTGAGCCTCCGTTTATGGGGTTCATCGTTTTTGGGAGCAGCCACATCTGTTGTGGGAAGCTGCTGCGAAGACCGAGCCTGGCACCTCGCAATCAGTAGCAGCTACTGTGAATGGATGGCCACTCCGCTTTAGCTGGTAAAATGGGGCACCGTCCCACAAGGACTTATCTTTTTAGTGTGTCCAGCCCAGTCTCCTTCCATCTTTTTTTAAAAATATATTTTATTGATTTTTGCAGAGAGGAAGGGAGAGTTAGAAACATCAATCAGCTGCCCCCTGCACACCCCCTACTGGGAATGTGACCGTAACCCAGGTACATGCCCTGGACAGGAATCGAACCTGGGACCCTTCAGTCCACAGGTCAATGCTCTATCCACTGAGCCAAACAGGTGAGGGCCCAGTCTCCTCCTATCTTGCTGGCCCCTATGGAAGTGAGAGGGCAGAGTAGGGGGCAATGTAGACAACCAGAGGCAAAGAGCCCTCCACTGGGGGAATCCAGGGAAACTGGCACACACACACACACACACACACACACACACAGTCCTCTGCACGTCCACAATGACTGTCTCACCTGCTTTCAGGAGCCCAGAAAGCCAGCCCAGGGGCAGGGGCAGGGCAAGATTCTTCCCCACACAGGCTCCCAGATGCAAAGGCTTCCCAACAGGATCCGGGATACAAACCCACAAATCTCTCAAAAGGAGGAGGATGTTTGGAGACACAGCTCCTCTCTCCCTTCCCAAAGGCCTTGCAAGGGCAACCCTTCCGAGTGCCTGGCACAAGGCAGGTGCTCAATAAATATTTGCCCAGTGAGCGACCCAGTGAGGTCACCCTGTTTCCCCCGACTTTAATCCCAGAAGTCCTCTGGGGAAGGAAGCTCACACACCGTCATCAGCAACGTGTATTTACCCAGCGTGCGGAACTCCCGGGGTGCTGCGAGCTGGGGGCCGGGGGCCATCAGGGGTAACATGGCCTCCACTCCCCTAAGCCTTGGGGAGATAAGGCTCCGGAGGAACAAAGGTTAACACCAAGGGAATATCTTGTGCTTTGGGTCAGACTGTGCGGTAGGGAAATTAAAGGGAGCGGGGTGGGTCTAATTTGACTCTGTCCTGTTGTAAACTGGAAGCCTGGGGAAGCTGGTTAGCAACCTGGCCCCTGGGACTAAAGGTTCTGCCGGTTTCAGCCCTTGGGGTACCCGTGCCCCAGTAGGAAGTGCCAATCCTTACTGCCTGGAGAGATTGGACGGATGGACGAGGTCTGATCCCTGGATACTCCAGGCCCCCAGCTGGGTGCAGGGACCACCTCCTCCAGGGAAAGCTCTCAAAGAGGGGGGATGCCCGGCAGGTACGGCTCAGCGGTGAGTGTCAGCCCAGGAACCTGGAGATCTCTGTGTTCGATTGGAGGACAGGGCACAGCCCAGGCTGCAGGTTCGATCCCCAGGAGAGATATGCAGGAGGCAGCGATGGATGTTTCTCTCTCATCGATGTTTTCCTACCTCTCTATTCTCCCCGCCTCTCTCTAAAAATCAATAAAAATGTATTTAAATCCCCACTTCCCAAGGCAACCCCCACCTGACTGTCGGCTTCAGCTGGGACGGGAGAACAGCTACCGGGGAGGGTACCTTGCCGGACTCCTGCCCCCCCTCCCCTCTGACACCCAGCACACACGTTCTGTTGCAGAGGAGCAGGTGTGGGGCTAGAGGGAGTATCCCAGGAAGGCGGGGAATCCACAGCCTGTACCATTTCCCGGCGCTTTAGGGCCCCGCCCCTCCCCCAAGGAAATGACGTCATCACACCCATCGGACAGATCCGGAACACTGAGGCCTGGAGCCACTCATAAAGCGGGTGGGAGAAAACCTGGAATGAGGATGGGTGAGCCCTCTCTCCATCTACCTGGCTTCTGCCTTATATGGGAAAAGCGCCCACAACCTCTCGCCAGTTCATGACTGTGGGGAAGGGGAGCCCAGGGAACTCCAGTTACAGAGGCCAAATGCCCACCACCAGGGGAGGGCAAAGAGGCCTGTGTGCAAGGACAAATGGTTCCCCAGCCAGTGCCTCCAAGCTCACGTCCTACCCTCCGGAGGCTGGCCCAGTCCTGGGGAAGGTCAGGGCCCACATCCTTTGTGTCCACAGTGGGGCCCTCCTCCCCTCCTGTCTGGCCAAGCCCCAGAGGGGCAGTGAGACAGCAGCAGCCCCCTCGGCCCCTTCCTCCAGGAGCAAGTTCAAAAGTATTTCAGAACCTGGAACCCGACGTCCTTTCACCCTGACTCAGAGGCCAAAGGTCACCGAGGAGGCTCCAACCCCAAGGGGGAGAGTTAAGTATCCAATGAACTGTCCTTTCCCAAGCAAACATGGCGTCAGGTGAGCAATGAACTTGACCCTGGGGCTCTGCACCCCTCTTCCATCCCAGGCCCCCATTCCTGCCATTTCAGGAAGGAAAAAAAAGAGGGGGGGGGGGTATTTGAACTTGGAGCCAGCTTTGGGAAGTGGCCCGATGAGGAAGGGGACAAAAATCACAAAGCCCCTCCTCCAGACCGAAGGGAGGGGGCGTGCAGAGGAGACACATTTTGCCTCAGGATCTAAGGAAGCTAAAAAAGAGGACCAGGTCCTTCTTCCCCAAGTTGCTGGAAACACCCAGTTCTGCTCTCCACCCCCACCCCCTCCGAAAGCATAATGGCAACCAGATGAACAAGTCCAGCATGGGGGGGAGGGGGGGCCGGACACGAAATCCTAAGGGCCTCAGGGGACAGTGAATTTCCAGAAGGCCACCCTTCCCTCCCCCCAAACGCCTCCCCCCTTTCCTAGCCTTCTCCCGAATCCAGCCAACCCCACCCTCCACTGGGTAAACCTGCTTTGAAAAGTTAGCTCTTTGTTCTGCAAGCCGGGGCTCGGGCTCGGAGCACAATTTCAGGCGATCTCCGCGGAGCACCCGCCCGCCACCCACCCCGACCGGCCCCGGCCCCGCCCCGCGCGGCCCGAGCCGCCCCGCACCCCGAGGTGGCCTCCAGTTTGGGGTGGGGGCTGGGGCGCTGCCCTGAACCCCGCGGTCTAGCAGCCGCTGCACCGCCCAGGGGACCCCAGATCGCCCGAAACAGGGGGTCTCGCCGTGGGACTCAGGTCCTTCCCCATCCGCAGCCCAGGTCACCAGATGCAACCCTCGCCCGCCGGAGCCCCCCCAAACCCAGTCCCCGGGCCAGGAAGCCCAGCCACCCGCGGCCTCCGCGGACGGTTCCGCGGGGCCCCCCCAACCCCTGCCCCGCCCCCCGCCCGCCGCCCCCTCCCCCCGAGCCCCGCGCTTCCGCCTACTTGGCGTTCCGGGCGGCGGGGAGAGGGAGCGGCCGGCTCTCTCACTCTCTCTCCGGGGCTTAGGGGGCGGGGCTGCACCCCTAACCTTCCCCCAGCACCCCCTCCCCGTGGCCTGGCTCCCCCACCCCTCTTCCTCCGCCCAGCCCCGGGGCACGGAGCCGGCCGCTCCATACCCGCTGCCCGCCACGCGTGGACCCCTGGCCTCGCCTCGGGCCCCCCGGTTCGCAGACCTGGGGTCTGTGCCCCCAGCACCCCCTGACACCGCCCTCCTCCTCCTCCTCCCTCTCCCCCCGGGATCGGGGGGCCAGGCGGCGTGGCCCCGGCCCCTCTCGCGGCCCCCGATCTGGAGCTCTCGGGGCGGCAGTGGCCAGGGCGCGCCCCCCGGCCGCGGGCTCACCTTGTCCAGGCAGTTCACCTTCTCCGTGGGGTACACGATCTTGCCGCACCGGGCGCAGTTGGGGTTCATGGCTCCGGGAGAGGCTGGGCGGGGACGCCCGGGCTCGCGCGCTCTCTCCCCGGAGCGGGCAGGCGGGAGGCGCCGCGGAGGCAGCGGCGCGGGCGGCGGCGGCGGCGGCGGCGGCGGGAGCGGGGAACTGGCTCGCCTCCGCCCTCCGCCCCTATAAACACGGCGGGGCGGGCGGGAGGAGGGGCGCGGAGGGCGGGGGCGCGCGCCGGGCGCGCTCCCGGGAGCGGGGTGCTGGCGGAGGCGGGTTCCGGGCGGGGTGTGGGCGCGGGGAGCGGGCCTAGGTGAGTCCCCGGGGCTCCCGGCGCCCGGTGCTCCCGATGGGGGCGCCCCGGGGAGCGCCGGCTGTGCCCGCAGCCCTGCCCGGAGCCGGGGTGGCGGAGCGCGGGCTGCGGGAGGCCGTCGAGGGCGGGGTTGGCACACCCCTGAGCGCCCGAACTGATTCACCGCATTCGGGGACTTTCCTTTGTGCCCGTCGCTACCTGGGATGAACCCATGGACGGGATGGGAACCCCGTGCCCCACGCCTGCATTGGCCTCCCTTCCCGCCGCATGTCTTTCTTTGCGGGGCGGAATCTGTGCCTCCAGCCCGGGCTAGTTCTCCCCTCTCCGCGCAGCTTGGCCGGAGTGCCCCGGGTCCGGGCACCGTCCGCTTTCGGCCTGGCCCCCTTTCCTCCTCCATTCCTTTCTTCTGGCCTCCGACCCTCGGTGCATCCAAAGACCCATCTCCGGGAGCCAGAGCGGCGCGGGGGTATAGCTCAGTGGTAGAGCATTTGACTGCAGATCAAGAGGTCCCTGGTTCAAATCCGGGTGCCCCCTTGGTGGTTTTTCTTCCCTGCAACGAATAAGGCCCCATCTTTCTTGACTCTTTATTTTAAGATTGACTCCTGGATTAAAGGAAAACAGAAACGATTTTTCAGAAATGCATTTCTCATGTCCAATCTTAGCGGGACGCTTTCGGTTTTGCTTTGTGCCCAGCAGGAGGAGGAGGGGTGGATCTGTGCCCAAATCAGGCTCGATTGTTGGCGCCAGAGGCCAGAGGTATCGGGATTTCCGCGGCCACGGGATCCGGGAACAAAATGACTGCCCCCACCCCCGCCCCCCACCCCGCCGCCGTTGGTGTTCCGTTTCGGATGGGGTGTGGGTGGGTCAAGGGGAACAAAGCCACAGCCTTTCTCCAAACTTCAACTTTTTTTTTATTACCGGTGCTCAGAACACAGGTAGAGAAGAGAGTCAACGCACTTTTGAGAAGGTTAAAATGCCCCAGGCACATCCAGAGCTCATTTTAATTTACAAAAATAAAGTTACCTCCGAATACAAACTGACGTAAACTAGTGTGCATCAGAATTACCTGGAGGGCTTGTGAAGACACCCCCAGGTCCTCATCCCGCAGGCCCGGAGTGGGCTCCCCAGGGAATCTGCATTTCTGACAAGTTCCCAGAAGATGCAGATGCTTCTGGTCAGGGGACCACACTTTGAGAACCACTAAACGGGTAATACAGGGCTATCGAGTTCCATGGCCTAAAGGCAGGGACAGATACTTGTCGGTTGTGTTACTGACAGTATCATTGCTAAGCCAGAGGAAAACAGTACATGTGAAAGGAGTAAGGACAGCCCGTTCGACAAGGTTTTGCCCCAAAAAAGGAAAAATAAAGGAGAAAGGAAGAGGCATGCTACTGTGGTCAAAGGGCACCTGCGATATTTTAAACCCGGAATTTGGTTGTGTCATCCCTTCAGGCCCCTGGGGAATACTCCAGTGCATTTTTCCCCAGGGCTCCCATTGCTGTTCCATGTGTGTGAGGCTGGACATGGGCAAAGCTGTCCTCCTGGGGCAAAACTTAGACCCTCCTGGACACTAGGCCTCAAACTTACCCCAGGCCTAAGGCTTTTCTTGGTGCGAATATGAAGGAGAAAGCTGTCCACTTTTTACCTTTTATCTGTGTATGTCTTCTCTCCTCTTCCCTCCCTCCCCTCCCCCCAGAGGGCAAGGGAGAAGGAGAGAGAGATAGACACATCAGGGATGAGAGACTCATCGGTCAGCTGCCTCGGCACGCTCCACACTGGGGATTGAGCCCAAAACCCAAGCGTATTCTCTGACTGGGGATGGAACCAAGACCTCCTGGTTCATAGGTCGATGCTCAACCACTGAGCCCTGCCAGCTCCGGCTGTCTGCGTATGTCCTGTTAAACTTTGCAGTTAATAAGCTACTGAACTTTGGATTCATTCTCCTAGTCTTCCTGTCAGAGAATAAAGTAGGCAAAATAATACTGCCCTGCCCACCTCCAGGACCAATAGATGTTGAACAGCCTCAAAGGAGGGAAGTGTCGGCTGCTTTTTTCCACCTATTGAGAGTAAGGCTTCTCCCTACTGAGTGAGGGGACTGCTTTGAAGCACCATTGTATTCACCTTGTAATGGGGTTACACCTGAGGGAGGGGAGGAAAATGTCAAGGATATATGAGGGGGCACCCGGATTTGAACCGGGGACCTCTTGATCTGCAGTCAAATGCTCTACCACTGAGCTATACCCCCTGGACATACTTTGTTTGTTCTCCTTATCCACTTGTGGTGACTCAATACAATTAGGTCCTGCCCACACCAGAGTGCTGGCAAGCTTTCTGTTCTAAAGCCCCGCCTTATTTTGTTGGTAAGTGTTTGATAAATTCTTTTTATGCCAATCCTAATTTTTTGTACTGAAATTGTTTACTTGTTCAAAATTAGGTACTTCTTGCTAAATTATATTGAATTCACTTATGATGGGGAACAAAATTGAAAGACCACCTGAAAACATAGCCCTTTGAAAACATGAAGTTGGGTACCAAACCGCCTTTTCTAGGTACAGAACATGCTTTCAAATGAAAGTCACAAAGGTTCTGAGTCTTCACTGACAGAAATAAATGTACAAGTACATCAGTGATGAGAATCATTGAACGTCTGCATTCTGCACGCCCCCTACTGGAGATCAAGCCCCAGTACGAGTACATGTCCTTGACCAGAATGGAAACTGGGACCCTTCTATCTGCAGGCTGGCACTCTATCCACTGAGCCAAACCAGCTAGGGCTAAAACCAATTTTTAAAAGTTACCAGTGCATTAGGAAGGGGTGAGGGGTGCTATCTCAGGTTGGACAATCATGGGAGGCCTGAATGAGGGCATATTCCAGGCAAAGAAAATGGCTACTACAAGGGCCTTAAGCCTAGAGGGGCTGGAGGAAGGCGATTCAAGAGAGCTGGAGAGGGCCTTGTATGATTAGAAAAGGAATCAAGCATTTCTTTTCCATTATTTTTTAAAAATATTGCCGAAACCGGTATGGCTCAGTGGTAGAGAGTCGGTCTGCGGACTGAAGGGTCCCGGGTTCAATTCCGGTCAAGGGCATGTACCTTGGTTGCGGGCATGCGGGCACATCCCTGGTGGGGGGTGTGCAGGAGGCGGCTGATCAATGTTTCTCTCTCACCGACGTATCTGGCTCTCTATCTCTCTCCCTTCCTCTCTGTAAAAAATCAATAAAATATATTTTAAAAAATATTTTAAAAATGATTTTTAGAGAGAGAAAAAGGTAGAGAAAGAAGCATCCATGTGAGAGCAAAACAGGGGTCCGCTGCCTTACCAGGGATGCAGCCCAAAACCTGGGCATGTGCCCTGACCGGGAATCAAGCAGTGATCCTACTGCTTCATAGGCAGGATCCTCAACCACTGAGCCATGCCAGCTCGGCGCCAGTTGGCTTCTCTTTGGTAACTTAAACCTGGCAGGTGGGAGTCCCTGCACCTTGGGAAGTCAGGGCCCCCAAGACTGGTTCTTACCCATTGACCACACTACCTCTGACTAGTTCTGACTTTCTCTCTCTCACTCTCTCTCTCTCTCTTTTTCTAATATATATTTTATTGATTTATTTTTTAATAGAGAGGAAGAGAGAGAAATAGAGAGTTAGAAACATCAATGAGAGAGAATCATCAATCCGCTGCTTCTTGCACACCCCCTACTGCCTCTTGCACACCCCCTACTGGGGATGTGCCCGCAACCAAGGTACATGCCCTTGACTGGGATCGAACCTGGGATCTTTCAGTCTGCAGGCCCACGCTCTATCCACTGAGCCAAACCGGTTTCGGTTGGTTCTGACTTTCTCTAGAAAGGAAGAGTCAAGCTTTGTGGCAAAGAGCGTGAGAAGGAGAGAGAAGGTGTGGAAGAGCTGAGACAGGAGGAAGTCTGTGAATTGGGCACTTTGGAGAGGAGGAACGTGAACCTAATCAGCCGTTTGAGTACTAGATGGAAAGCCTGGAGGGACACAAACTTGTAAGCTTTCTTCCGAGGCCCTTCAGCTGCTTTGGGGGCAGGCGTGGTGTAGTCAGAGGGCTGAGTGCAACTAGGACTGTGGTTTGGCCGGCGAGCACAACCCATGGCTTCCTGGTTTAGAGAATGAGGCACTGTGCCAACTTCTGTAGGGAATACAAAAAAGGACGCAACGTGATCCTGCCCTCAAGGACTTACAGTCTAGTCCTAGCTGGTCTGGCTCAGTGGATGGAGCGTTGGCCTGTGGACTGAAGGGTCCCAGGTTCAATTCTGGTCAACGTGCTGGGGTTGCAGGCTCAATCCCCAGTAGCAGGCATGCAGGAAGCAGCCAATCAAGGATTCTCATCATTGATGTTTCTATCTTTCTCTCTCCCTCTCCCTTCCTCTCTGAAATAAAAATACATTTAAAAAAATAAATTTACAGTATATTTGGAGAAACAATACATATACAAGAAGAGAAAGATAACTGAGAGAGCAGCAGTACTTGGAGACAGGTAGTTGATAATGAGAAAAATGAAGTATAGACTTCCTTTAAAATGGGTATCAGTGGTGAGAAAGAAGGGGGAGTTTTTTGAGGAAGGATTTATTTTTATTTTTATTTTTTTTTATTTAGGGGAAGCCTGTTGAAAGTTGAAGGAGCCAAGGAAGCCGAGGAAGTGGCTGGAGAGAATAGAAACAATAGGGGCCCCTCTGGCCCAGGAGCAGAGAGGGTCTTGAGAAAGACAAGGGAAGCACTTCTGTTTGGAAGCAGCAAGACTGGGCTGCAAGGCAGGTTGCAGGCAGGCAGGATGGAAATTAATTTTCAAGAACTCCAGATGCCAGAGGCAGAGAAGGTTGTCGCTAATGTAGG